TCATTGATCGGTAAACTTGGTCTTGGCTGGCTGTTCTTGCTGATCTTCTGGGGGAGGGGCCTGTTGCCGTGGTTCCCAAATGTCTTTGCCTGAGGTGGAATTGCCCCGCCCTTGTCGGTCCAGGCTAAGTAATCTGCTTGGGTTTGCTCTCAGGAGCTTTTGCTCTCTGCAAGCTTTTGGTACAGCTTTGGAGGACGAGAGTGAAAATGGTGGCCTCCCAATTTCCACCCTGGAGGAGCCGAGAACTCAGGGCCCCGCTCCTCAGTGCGCCCCCAGAGAAAAGCAGTCAGTCACCCCCATCTCCCCGGTCTCCGGCCGCACTCTGTGCTCGCCCCGCCTGTCTCTGGCACCCGACTTGGTGTGGAGTCTCCCGAGTCTCCAAACCCAGCAGATCCCTGTGGTGCGCTCCCGCGCCGCTCCTGGAGGAGGAAAGGGAGTCTCCCCGGATCTGCCGCTTGTTGGGTCCCTGCTGGAGGAGCAGTGGCCCGACTGTGCCACAGATCACGGTTTATGGCAACCCCGAGCTGAGAGCCCGCGCCTCGGCTCCGTCTCTGCAGCCTGCTTCCCCGCTCCGATCCCTGGGAGCTCTGCTGCACTCAGGCACCCCCGGTCTTTCTGTGACCCTGAGGGTCCTGAGACCACACTGTCCCAGCGAGGGTTCCACCCCCGCTTAGCCACTGGAACGACGTCCCTCAGTGGAGCCGACTTCTAAAAGTTCCGGTTTTGTGCTCCGCGGCTCTATCACTTGCCAGAAGCAGCCGACGGAGGCCCCCTCCCCCACCGTCTATCCTCCCAAATATCGCCTCGGATTCACTTCTCCCCACGTCCTACCTTCCAGAAAGTGATCGCTTTTCTGTTCAGAGAGTTGTTGCTATTCTTTTCTTCGATCTCCTGTTGAGTTCGTAGGTGTTCAGAATGGTTTGATCCCTATTCAGCTGAATTCCTGAGACCAGATGAAATCCAGGTCTCCTACTCCTCCGCCATCTTGCTCCCTTTCCCAACAGTTCTCGATTTTTATGCCTCTAACAACATAGCTTCAAAATACATAAGGCAAAAACTAATACATACTTAAAAATTATTGAAGTATAACATACACACAGAAAAGTATATAGGTTAAGAGTGTACAGCTCAGTGAGTTATTGCCAAATGAGTATATCAGTATACCCAACACATACAGCATTACCGGTACCTCAGAAGGCTCCCTTGAGATACCTCCCAATCACTAGTCCTTGCCTCTTCTCTAAGGGTCACTACTATTCTGACCTCTTATACAATAGATTAGTTTGCCTATTTTAAAACTCTATATAATGGAATCATCAGTGTGTGTTCTTTTATACTTGGCTTTTCACTAATATTTATTAGATATGTTTTTTAGCAGTCCCTGTTGGGGCACCTGAGTGACTCAGTTAAGCATCCGACTCTTGATTTTGGCTCAGGTCATGACCTCAGGGTCATGAGATTGAGCCCTGGTTTGGGCTCCATGCTGGGTGTGGAGCCTGCTTGAGATTCTCTCTCTCTCTCTTCCTCTGCCCCTCTCCCCTGCTCATACCCATACTCTCTCTCTTCAAAACAAAACAAAAAATTCCCTGTTTAATATTAACTTGCTATCATTATTTTATCATTTTAGGTGTTTTGGAAAATAATTATGAGAGCTTACGTATACTAAATGTTGAAAGAAATGGAAATATTATTTATACCTATAAGGTATGTCTATATTCTCTTTTTTTATTGTGGTAAGATATGTGTAACATAGAATTTACTATTTTAACCATTTATGTTCTTTTTTAATTGAATTTTATGCTATATCTTACTGAGGGGGTAATGAATAAAAATTGTTGGCATTTAACCTTTAATGTGACTTTTATTTTGTGAGATTAAATAAGGTGATTGAAATTCAGTCTTAATGGAATGGAATGTGTCTGACTCTCAGACTCAGTGCTCAAATTTTTTGAGTAAATGAACAGTTCCATTTTGCAGAGGAAAAAATGCTAAGTGAAAGATGTTTAAATCTAATTAATATGTAAGGTTTTATCTTTGAGAAAATATTAAATATGATTACTCAACATCATCTGTTTAGACTTAAGTATGCTCAGACTTCTGAGGCATTATTGTTTAATGTGTGTTTTCAACATTAAGTGTTCTAAGGAATGAAAATGTAACTTTACTGATAACTTTACTATAGTAGAGAAACATGAAAGAATAATTTCAGTGGCCATCTTGCTTTGCACAGATGTATTACTGTATTTATTTATTTATTTGCTCAAATGTTATTTTAAGTTGGGGTACCTGACTAGCTCAGTCAGTGGAGTGTGAAACTCTTGATCTTGGGGTTGTGAGTTTGAGCTCCATGTTGGGTGTAGAGGTTACTTACATAAATAAAATATTTTTAAAAAGTTATTTTAAGTTGTATTCTACAAGTGTGCTGCATTTAAAGAATTGTATGATTCAAAAAGTTTTATTTACAGGAATATCATGGACTTGTTTTAGCCACTTCCAATCTCTATCATATATATTGTCTTGAAGAAATAAATGGAAGTACAAAAAGATTCACTCCTTTGTTATATATACTCTACTACCTACTAGATGGGGTCCCCCAGACTCACTGAGCTGTACACTCTTAATCCATTTCACTCTTTGAGCCCATATTACTAGCTGAAACAGGTTTGGTCCCTTTCTGACATGCTACCTTTAGAGTGCTTATTGCTAATATTGATTGAATTATTGCAGGTTTAAGGCTAATAACATCCTAACTTCCTAAACAATGATATATAATAAATATCTGGTTAATTTTTTTAAGGATGATAAGGGAAATGTCTTCTTTGGATTATATGACTGCCGAACCAGACAAAATGAGGTAAAAATCACCATAAATCATAGATTACTCATTAGTATTGCTTTTAGAGTTTTTTTCTTCTTTCTGCCTCCTTTTTCTAGATACAGATTCTCATTTCATTTTCTAAAAATTTAGTTTTTATTTTCTTTGCCTCCCTTCTTTCTTTTACCATCTTTAAAAATAAGTAAGTAAATAAAGTGCAAGGACTCCTGGACCAAAGCATCACCTGAAGTTTCTTAGTCCTTTGAGATTTAAGCAAAATTGGCTCAAATCATTTATCCAATATTCTGTAGGAATGTAGGAAGTCCAATACCTTCCTGAGATTTGCATGCTCCCAGAAGTTTAGGATCTCATAATGACCTCTGGCTCCAAGTTCCATTTCTCCTTAACCTTCACTTCTCTTGCTTCTCAAAGATCCAGGTATAGAACCCAGCTTCCTTTTATTAATTTTTCCCCACACCACCCACATAGAACATTGGTTGATGTGACAAGTCTTATCTGACTCTTGGTGCAAAGGTGAGGGAGTCATTTTGTGCCTATGTAAAAACAACTTACAAATATTAAGGGGCTAAGAAGTCTAAATGTACACTGGCACAGAAGGTTCTCCAAAACATACTGTTATGTGAAAAAAAGCAAGTTGCCAGAATAATACATTTCATTTATGTTTAAAAAAACTTTCGAGAAAACATAAATATATGTTAAAAACTCATTTTAAAAAGATCTGGAAGGTTACAGAGTCAATTACAAAATGTTTCCTTTTGGAAAGGAGTTCATACGGGGTGAGCGTAGCGGAGAGCTCTGACTTTTTATTTGGTGGTGTTGGCATGTTTTAAACACTGAGACTATTCACGTGTCATCTTATAATTAAAAGGGTAAAACACTAAAAGTTAAGTGTATACATCCATGATTCTTCTTACTTGTATATCAGAATCCCTCAGAGCAAGAGACAAAGGAAACCAAAATGTTTCACGTGAATTTAGAGCCTCCTTATTCACTCAAAGTTCACTTTTTCTAATCAAGCATTTCGTGACTTCTCAACATTTTTCATCAACTTCTGGCCATAGGATTCTAGTGTGTTCTCAGTGCTTTTTTAAATGTGCAAGGACTAATTACCTTCCTAATACTCCTGCTACATGTTGTTTCTCTTCGCCTGTTCTCTACTGAGGTCTAAGACTCTTGATCTTTTCTTACCTTCTGAGGGTATTGTAAGAGTTTGCCTAATATAACTGCGATTGTCTTCATTTCCTCAATTTGCATACCATATCCTCCTTCTTCATGACCATTTTCATTTTCTTTAATATTTAATAAGGAAATGGAATCTTGCAACATTTCAAACAGCAAGAAAATTTTTAAAAGAGTAAGTAAAAACAAAATTACTCTGCCAAGGCTCTGAATATGAGAGCCTTACAGGAGACGTACTTGTGATAGTCTGTTAGACATAATTAATGATATCATAGTTAGGTAACTTGGTTAAAACTTTACTTCTCTCAATAATTATAATAGCTGACATCTGAGTGCTTATTATGGGTGGCTGACAGTGTAATAAGTGCTTTGTATGGATCATCTCAGTTGATCCTTCTAAGGATTTCATGTAATAGGTATTATGATTTTTATTTTACTGATAGGAGAATAGAAAGATTGAATAACTTGTCCAGGGGCGCCTGGGTGTCTCAGTCGGTTAAGCGTCTGCCTTCAGCTCAGGTCATGATCCTGGGGTCTTGAGATTGAGCCCTACATCGGGCTCCCTGCTCAGCGGGGAGTCTGTTTCTCCCTCTCCCTCTGCCCCTCTGCCTGCTTGTGCTCTCTTTCCCTCTCTCAAATAAATAAATAAAATCCTAAAAAGAAGAAGAAGAAGTTCTCCAAAGTCACACAGCCAGCAAGTGGCACAACCAGAATTTAATTCTACATCTAGCCTGGCTGCAAGGTCTAGGCTCTTAACCACTAGGCCAGGTTGCCTCATGATTAAGCTTCAGTGCCAACTATGGCCTACAATTGCAGACTTTTTTCTTAAAAAATAATCTGGAACTTCTCGATATGGATAAACTGGTTAATTGATGGTTCTTTAATAAAATGTCTGGCCACCATGATACCACCATGATAACTGGGAATTTGAATTCTAAAATTGTTTTTTAACACAAAACTCCAAATTAAAAAATAATTTTGTCTTAATAGCATCTCTATACATTTGAGAAAGACTTGCACGTTGTCAGTTGCTCTGTCAACAGTGAGAGAACTTTGCTTGGTAAGTTGAACTCTTTTATTGCTACATGTCAAGAACTAAACTACATTTGTTGAGTTTGGACTTTTGCAATATTTGACTATTCTACAACAATGATTTTCTGGGAAAAGATGCTCTTGGGAGATTAATTTTGAAAAAAAAATTCTGTGAAGTCTACTTACAAAAAAGAATGCTTTCTGAGTTACCCTAATCATCCACTGACAGATCCTTTGAGCCCTCACTTATTTCAGGTATAAAGTGGTAAACTTTAACCAGCCACTGCATGGATCATTTGCTAATGGATTATTTTTTTTCTTTTTCCATTAGCTGCAAGTTTAGTTCATTTTACTAAGGAAGGAAGAAAGAATGAGCTTCAACCAGGTATGACATTATATTTTTTTAGTGCTTATTGACAGATGAAGATTTATTCACTACTAAGTCAAATTTCAAGCATCTTTACAAATTATCTCAGAATGAAAAGGCAAAGGTCCTGTCAAGCATGAAAACGTTTTTTAAATTATTTTTTTTCAAGTAAACAAGAAAGTACAGAATATAATGTGACAGTGAATAGTAGAAGTGTTAAAAAGGCATCTAGCACCTGCAGACAAATAAACACCAAGGACATCCTAGAACCCTATGACCAGAAGCTGGTGTAAAAAACGCTGGGAAGGGGTTGAGATTCCTTCCAAGAATATCTTTTTTTTTTCTTACATTGTGTGAACTGTGAATAGTTCACCAATTCTAAATAAAATTTCTTGGGCGCCTGGGTGGCTCAGTTGGTTAAGCGACTGCCTTCAGCTCAGGTCATGATCCTGGAGTCCTGGGATCGAGTCCCACATCGGGCTCCCTGCTCAGCAGGGAGTCTGCTTCTCCCTCTGACCCTCTTCCCTCTCATGCTCTCTATCTCTCATTCTCTCTCTCAAATAAATAAATAAAATCTTTAAAAAAATAAATAAATAAAATTTCTCATTTGCCAGGGCCCACTTTATAGTTTATTATCTATGTGAGGCTCCCTCCTTCTTTTTAACATTCCATATCATCCATATGTCCAGAACTCAACAAATAAGTGCCTGCAGTGGATCAGGCACTCTGCATGGTGCTGGGGATAAAATGTTATACAAGAGAGCTGTAGCAGTTGCCCTCATGGTGAGCTATAGAGACTAATGGTGGGTGTGGGTGCGCCATGGGGCATGGTCCCATCTTCAAAGGAGGGCAGTAAGCCCAGTGGGACCAGCTTTTCAGTTTACCAAGAGAAATATGAACCTTTGTGTGAAATTTTAATTTTTATATGTTGGCTCAAATATTTTTAAGAAATTCTACTCAGGCCCTTTTGGCCCTGATTTCTTTTAGCCTCAGGAATTCTTTATTTTGCTGGTAAACCCGATAGAACCTATATTCTTTACATGATGTTTACCATCTATGCCTGATTGTCATGCAAAACAGTGGCGATTATGTACATTATAAAATGTACTTTCAGGGGCGCCTGGGTGGCTCAGTAGGGTAAGCGTCTGCCTTCGGCTCAGGTCATGATCCCAGGGTCCGGGGATCCAGCCCCGCATCAGGCTCCCTGCTCTGAGGGAAGCCTGCTTCTCCCTCTCCCAATGCCCTTCCGCCACCCCCCGCCCCCCGCTCATGCTCTCTCTCTCTCAAATAATAAAATCTTTAAAAAAAGATAAAATGTACTTTCAGATGAACTTTATTGTAAGGTTTATTAAATTAAATCCTATTCAGGGGGCACCTGGGTGTCTCAGTCAGTTAAGTGTCTGACTCTTGGTTTTGGCTCGGGTTGTGATCTAGGGGTCATGAGATCAAGCCTCCCGACGGGCTCAGCACTCAGTGGGAAGTCAGCTTGGGCTGCTCTCCCTCTTCCTCTGCCCCTGTCCTCTACTTTCTTTCTCTCTAGGATAAATAAACCTTAAAAAAAAATCCTATTCAGGTCTGCTTACTCAGTCTTTAAAGCTTGATGCACCTCCAGTGAGATTATCGGATCACATCTTTAAACATATTAGAATGAACCTTGTTAGGTGTATTGTATTGGCCTCCTAATACTTTATGTCTTGTCAGTTCACCTTTTAGGCCAGCAGCTACAGTAAGAACCAGCTCTGCACAGACATAATTTGACAGACCGCGCCTTAACTCAGCTGCTCGGCCAGCTTCTTGCTTTTTGCCCAGAGCCCTTGGGAGAATATTTACTGCCTACATGTGTGCCACCTGAAAGTGTGGCTGGAAAGGATCCCTATCAGGACAAGCCATGACCAATGAGGGGCCAAAGAGCTGAAGGATAAATACTCCCCTTTCCATCCCTGAAGTGGATAATTCTGATGTGTCCTCCATGCAGCTCAAAGTCCCAAGGTAGTCATGAATTTGATAAGGTCCTGCTTACTGGTGTATTCTTCTTCCTGTTTCACACTCCCCACTACCTCACACCACAGCCCTCTTGTCTTAGTTTGGGTTTTCCCCTAAGCTGGAGTCTGAGGCTAGCATTTGAGTGCAATTAGTTTATTTGAGGGATGATCCTAGGAAGCACTATTAGGGGAGTGTTTAAACAGAGATCTGAAAGAAGGGAGGGAACAAGCACGTGGCTGTGGGGAAGGCACATTTCTGACAGTGACAACAGCCAGCACAAAGGTCCTGGGGCCAGAGTGTACTTGGTGGACTCGCTGATAAGGATAGTGAGGAGGTCAATAAGGCCGAAAGAAAAGGGGCAGAGTGGTAGGAACGGAGGCCAGAGGAAAACAGGGCTGAAGTACAGACAAATCATGGAGACCCTACAAGGCCTTTGTTCAGTTAAGATTTCAGAAATTATGGGACCAGAAAACACTGTAGACTCTATTATGCTCTTTTATTCTTTGAACAAATATTTTGGAAAACCTTATTTTATCTGCCCATGAATGACCTGATAAGTCATTCAATTATAAAATGTAGTTTGCCTGGAGGTATTGTTTAACACTCTGTTGCTTTATAATGAGATTTTTCCATTGCAAGTGAGACAAACTGTAACATCTTTCATATGAACAAGATAAGGTTCTTTGGTCCACATACTTTGCAACACAGTTTTTATCCATAGTGCTTCTCTTCTTGGCTGTGGCCATGGCAGATTAATGTTTTGTTTAGGATGTAGTAGAAGAGAAGTTGTCTGGCTGGCTCACTCAGTAGAACATGGAGCTTCTGATCTCAGGGTTGTGAGTTCAAGCCCCATGTTGGGCATAGAGCTTGCTTAAAAAGAAAGAAAAGAAAAGAAAAAGGGAAGAAGAAAATGACCTAACTGTCCCTTTCACCCTCCCCTGTGGAGTTGCAGTTGCCTCAAGCACAGTGCCTCCCCCTGGGCAGCTATGGGGATGGCCACATGTGTTGGCCGCTGAGACTCCCGAGGCCCCCTGCACCATTGTAGTTCAGTGCTGCAGAGGCTCCGTGGAGCTGTGGTTTGGTTCAAGAGCTCCAGGAACAAGAGCTGCTTCAGAACCAGACCCTGCTACTCTTCCAACTTTGTCATCATTCACAACATGTGTCTTCGCCTGCATCAGACTAGATTCTTTTGTAGACTATACTTTCCCCATGCCATGCCTGTCCTTATGCTTTTTTTTTTAAAAAATTTTTGTTCAATTTATATAAACTAAAAAAAAAAACCCAAAAAACAAAAACCCAGTCACTTGTTTCTCCCATTCTTCACCCCCCCCCCACCTCTTGTAACTGCCAATTTGTTCTCTGTATCTATGAGCATGGGGTTTTTATTTCTCTTTCCAGGAATCTATCCGTAAGAGAGATGATGATACGGTATTTGTCTTTCTCTGATTTCACTTAGTGCAATGCCCTCAAGATCCGTCCACGTTGTCCCTTTTGCTCCTGCTGTCTGCTTTCTGTGATATCCACAGGACATGGCGTACCCTGCGGGGATGCCCTTCCAGGCTCCACTGACATCTGGATTCTCGAACTTCTTTTTTTTTTTTTAAGACTTTATCTATTAACTTGACAGAGAGTACAAGCAGAGGGAGCAGCAGGCAGAGGGAGAGGGAGAGGCAGGCTCTCCACCAAGCAGGGAGCCTGATGCAGGGCTTGATCCCAGGACCCCGAGACCATAACCTGAGCTGAAGGCAGACGCTTAACCGACTAAGCCACCCAGGCGCCCCTGGATTCTTGAACTTCTTAAGACAACTTTAAGCACTTCATGGAATCACGGAATTTCATGACCGAAAGTGATGGTAGAAGTGATCTGATTCTCTAGTTTTTGTTTTTTTAATAACAAGGCACTCAAGCCTAGGAATGCTTTGTTCTTTCTGAAAAGTGTCTATTAGGTTAGCAGCAGAGTGTAAACTAGAACTGATGTCTCTAGAATCCTAATCCAGAGTTTATCGTATTACACCATGAAAGCACATGGTATGTTACTGAGAGAAATTCCTGTTTACACGATTACTCTTATCATTATGCTTCTTATATTAGTTAGGTGCCTGGGCTGTCCCAAAAAAGGGAAAAATTAGTGTAGGAAGATGGTTTCAGTCCTTGAAAATCCTCCCATTTTATTTATTTTTTTAAATTTTATTTATCTGACAGAGAAGGGAAGTAGGAGAGGGAGAAGCAGGCTTCCCGCTGAGCAGGGAGCCTGATGCGGGGCTCGATCCCAGGACCCCGAGACCATGACCTGAGCTGAAGGCAGATGCCCAACGACTGAGCCACCCAGGCGCCCAAAAATCCTCGCATTTTAAAGTCAAGTGAATTTAACTAATAGCTGGTTATCAAATATCAAAGTCTAACTATAAGTTGATTCTTTACTCCTTTAAGAAGATTCCCCTGCCTGTCTCATAAAAAGTTTTTTTTTTTTTCCCCAACTTGGGATATATAAACTTTTAGGGCAAGACATCAAATAGTCAAATGTCAGCCTGTACTACTTAATATAGTAACTTTAATTATTAATTTATTTATACACTTAATGTAAAATAATATAAAAGGAAAATCCTTTTTTTCTCATTCTTACATTTCACGAAGTATTTCTGTTTTTCTTCTCAAGTATCTCTGACACCAATGTCTTTTTTTTTTTTTAAAGATTTTATTTATTTATTAGAGAGAGAGAGAACAAGCATGTGTGAGTGGGGAGAGGAGGGAGAGGGCGGGAGAAAGAATCTCAAGCAGACTCCCCACTGAGTATGGAGCCCGATGCAGGGCTCAGTCTCACGACCCTGAGACCATGACCTGACCTGAAATCAAGAGTCAGATGCTCAACCCACCAAGGCACCCAGGCACTCTGACACCAATGTCTTTCTTATTCTTAGAGACTTTTTGTTTTGTTTTTGTTTTTGTCTTTTTTTAGTTATCAAGCAGATTCCCAAAGCTCCTCACCTTTACCTCTGTCCCAATTATTAGAAGTATAGCCCTTTTGAATTGGCATGTGATCCTGTCACTTTGATTTTTATCCTAAGTTCCAAGTACCCTTGACCAAACAATATTTGATTTTCATTTGTTCTGTCCTTGTATATTTGGGATCCCACATAGTAACTCAGTGTCTTGCTTTTTCAGTAATCTTTAAAAGGCACGTTTACAGAGATATCCAATGCTTGCAATTGTAAGACCACATCATTTGCCTTTATTTGCTGTCAGGTTAGTTTCTTAGATAGTGAAAATTGGCACTGACTCAATTCCAGGCTGCTATGCAGCCTTGAAATTGTACATTATTATTCAAAATAAAGTCATTGAGAAAGCACCTGAGAGCATTAGTCTTTGTAAGAACTCAGCTCTAAGGCAACTCTGAATGTGAGGTTTCATCTTGGGGGAGGGGAGCTCTTGGTCTAAATCTGGATATCTGTGGTGACCCCGTGCAAGCCTGTATCCAAGGACTTCCTCCTCACTGCTGTCTTTTATGACATTTGCTGTAATGTGACACTGAGGAACTAAGTGGGTCTTAATCAACGCAGCTCCACCACCATCGAAGAAGGAAGCCAGGCTTCTGTCCTCCTCAGAGGTGCTGTCATGGTGATGTATCAGAAATATCTTTATATTTTCACCCACCAATGATATTGGTCCTTGTGCTGCAGAATTGGGAGTGATTGTGAATTGGGCTGTGTTTGCTTAGACTTAGAAGCCCAGAGGGACTGTGAGGCTGTGCTAAGTGGCTGAGGAATGGGCAGGCACTTGGTCCTCACTCCATGTATATTGATTTCTCCTTCATGAGGTTTTCTTCATCTGTTGTGGGTTTTAAGAACTGTCAAAGTAAATTTTAAGAAAATTACTTTTCCTGGGGCACCTGGGTGGCTCAGTCATTAAGCGTCTGCCTTCAGCTCAGGTCATGATCCCGGGATCCTGGGATCAAGCCCCACATCGGGCTCCCTGCTCAGCGGGAAGCCTGCTTCTCCCTCTCCCACTCCCCCAGCTTGTGTTCCCTCTCTCGCTGTGTCTCTCTCTATCAAATAAATAAATAAATAAAATAAAATAAAATAAAAATTACTTTTCCTGTTGGAATACCTAATACAATAGGTAACGTATTTACATTTTCAAAATTCAAACTTAGGGGGAGAAGATAACAAAAGACATTCTGATCTTTGTTACTAAAAGCCTCCTTTCCTTTGTAGGATCAAAGTGTTTAACTTTGTTGGTTGAAATCCACCCTGTTAACAATGTGAAGGTTCTAAAAGCCGTGGATAGCTATATTTGGGTGCAGGTAAGCACTGAGCACATTATCATTCATCTCACTAATCAAAAGGCGTGAAACCTGGAGGCAATGGTGCTTACAAAGTGTTTTCACAGCCATTATCACATTTAATCCTAAAAGCAATCTGGTAGATGGGTATGGCTGGAATTATCCACTCATCCTTTGCAAACAAGGAAATCAAAACTCAACCTAGCTCCTCTGTCTCTGTTATATCATGGTTTGTCTGATAGTCATGTAATGTTTTTACATGATAAAATACTGACTCTCAACACACATTTAAGGTAAGTTTAAAAAATGGTTTATTTAATGTACTCCTATAGTTGACAGAGTAAATAGAAATAAATGGCTTAATCCCTGACTTTATCAACTCCATGAAAGGATACAGAGGCACCGTGTATATGGTGTGGGTGGACCAGATATAGTCCATCTTCATTACTTGTACGCTCTGAACTTGTGAATTGTACTCCTCACCAAAATCTATTTGTAACACCAAAGTCAATACTCACAGTGCTTTTATAGTCATCTGCAGACATGTGCGCAGTGGTGAAAAATTTGTCACCCAACTGAGGCTGAGCAAGGTGACACTGCCTTCTTGGTTCACCTCTCACATTGTAAACGGATGTCATTTTCACGATCTCTTTAGTGCCATGATTTTCACATTTGGGGGCTTTTCTTTGGTGATTTCACTATTTCAAATGTTCCCCACGCAGAGCGCTCAAGTGCCGTCTAGGGTCCCTGAGCACAAGAAGGCTGTGCCGTGGTTTATAAAGAAAATACGTGGGTTAGATAAACTGCATTCAGGCATGAGATTATGGTGCTGTTGACCACGAGTTCAATGCTAAGGGATCGACAGTGTATATTAAATAAGATGTCTTTTGTTTGTTTGTTTAAAGATTTTATTTATTTATTTGACAGAGAGGAACACAGCAAGAGAGGGAACACAAGCAGGGGGAGTGGGAGAGGGAGAAGCAGGCTTCCCGTTGAACAGGGAACCTGACGTGGGACTCAATCCCAGGACTCTGGGCTCATGACCTGAGCCGAAGGCAGACGCTTAACAACTGAGCCACCCAGGTGCCCCAAGATGTCTTTAAATAGGAACACACATGAAACAAATTATGTACTAACTGGTTGATACAGATCCTTGCATTTCCGTTCAGTATTCCGGCCGTGGTGTTTGTGGCCATCTGTAGACTGTGCAGTGCTGGAGCATGACTTCCTTGTGTAACCTGAACTATCTGCTTCTCCTCCCTGGCACGCGGAGCTCCTAGGCTGCATTCCCCCTCCCCCGGGAAGCCGCTGTGTTTACACTGTCATCAGTACTGGGGTGACTTTGGGACAGACCATACTTCCCTTTTCTGGCCTGTTCTTTTGGCTTCCTTAGCATCTCCATCCAGGGCTGTGTCCGGCAATGGAGAAGTTATTGAAGGATCGGGGCAGGTAAAGGGAATTAGAGCACAGGAAGGGCAAGAGTTTTTATAAGTACATGGTTGCACAGCATGGCGAATATATTAACAATTACTGAATTGTATATTTTAAAATAGTTAAAAAGGTGATTTTTCTGTTATGCAAATTTTATATCATTTTTAAAAGATTTAATAGTACAGGACGCATGACTGTTTCCATAGGCCAAAGGGAAAGTCCCCGCCCACGTGAAGTAAAACCTGTCCTTGTCTTGTGGACCCATCTCTGTTCCTAGCCCTGCTCCCTGCTCCTCATGCCTTTCCCTCTGGGGAGAGAAAAAATCTCACAAACCTCCTTCCAGGGCAAACCCCCACCTCCCTTTCCCCCACCCTCTCCCTTTTACAGAAATGCCATTCACTGTCCACTGAGTTTGGTCTTGCCCTGCAATCTGTCTCCCTTTTCTTACCAAAATATTCATGGTGATCTCCAGTAGTACATTTCCCCAAGTCTGTATATGCAGCCTCGACCGCCTTCACAGAGGAACTTCAGCAGGACAGTAGTGGGTGGGGTTTGGATCCCAATCTGGTCCCTTTTGAGAATTGCCTACCAGCATGACCTGCATCTTCCGAATAGTTCCAGATATCCACCTATAGTGCATATCTTCCAACTATGAATATTAATCATCAGAGTCTACCTCCATATTTGTGAAGATAAATATTCCCCTACTATGATGTAATCTATATAGATCTCTACTGATGCTGCAAAATCAAAACAAAACAAAACCTTGCATATTTTTTGCTTTTGTAGAGCTGTGTCTGAAGCCTCTCTTTCTATAATCTTACTTCCAGGCTCTGCTGTAGGGCTGCCTCATCATAGAAAGGAAAACCACCACTACCTAAATGGAACTTTTAAAATCACGTTCTTACTCATTGCCACACAGAGACCAGGCAAAGGTTTAGAATGTCAGCACCTTCCTCCAGGTCACAGTCCTAAGCAAGCATGCTTTGGTACCTCTGTAGTCCCAAGGGAGGTTGAATGGTCTTTTGTAGGAATTTCTTCTTATTATGAGGCACTGAGCATTTGCTCTTCCATTATCCATATGGTGTCACTCAGCTTTGCTTCTCCTCGACCCCAGTACACACAGTTTCCTGTTTGATGTACACAGTTTCACAAATCAGGACATAACAAGTTCTACATTATTTTCATAACTGAATTCTGCATTGTTACCTATTTTATAATTTTGAAGTTTTTGCTGTGAACAGATGGTGTATAGTTAATGTTTTATTTTTTGATTCTAAAAAGGAAGCTTGACAACAGACAATTTTTGAAAAATTTACCAGTTCTATTTCCATTTTGTCAGTATGAAAAGTTAGGACACCAGGTAATATATTTCATCAAAATTTTTCCTAGTCTTTAGAGAGGCTGCTGACTATAAAGTAGGGACATAAAAGGGTTATGTTCTTTTGTCATGCTTTGAAGTTTGGAGGGAAAAACCAAAATTCACTGGTGGATCCTATCTAGTAAGCTGTCTTTCACGTTACAAAATGAAACTGCTGAATTATAGTTACCCTTTTGATGATGAAAGAATTAAGTCCCTGGAGTCATCCCATGGCCCCTTTTCCCTCATTATCACAGCTCATAGCATCAGGCCTGTGTTTCTGGCTGGCTGCTTTGTCCTGTGGGCTGACACATATGGGAAAGCGCAGAGAAGGAGGAGTGGGGTGGATCAAGCCTTTTCTTCCCAGTGGCAGTCGTACTATTATTTGAGGCTTATAAATCCCCCACCGCATGCCACACTGTGACTCACTGTTCTTTCTTGGAAAGTCCCGCGTTACGTTATGCTTTGTCTCTTCGATGTGGGACTTTGGAAGCTGTAGTAGAGCATATGTTTACTTGGTTGTCAAATTAAATACAAGGTTTAGTTGCACAACAGGTATATTGATCACTTTTTTGGTGCATGTGGAAAAGAACTTTTATACAGCTGTTGTTTATATTGTTTCTGATTGGCTTCAGAATCACATATTCTAAAATACAAAGCACCATCTCTAGAAATAGCTTCTACTTTAGCCTTACTGTGGAAATGAATTATGTTGGACCTGCCATCAATTTCCCCCTGGGAAACTGAACCCCTGAAAGTGTTTCTTTTTCCTCTTTGCTTCTGTCTGTAATGTGTGTATAGGTGATTTGCCTAAACTATTGTATGGTTCCCAGTATCTTCTGTGGTATGTGGTAGTACAGTGATCAGAAACTTTTGAAATATTTGTGTAAGTAAGGTAGTTGCTTATGATTTTGATTAATTTCCTTTTTACAGTTTCTCTACCCCCATGTGGAAAGTCACCCTCTTGCAGAGAACCATCTGTTACTGATTTCAGAAGAGAAATGTAAGTGTATCTTTTAGGTGGTATATATGAACTTCATAAAGGGTACATCTCTTAGTGAAGTATGGGACTTGACTGAATCTTCTAGATGTCCACTCACCAGTGCTAAAGGTCCAACTGACCTTTGATGTCCATTTAAGGTCTAGCACTCCTGTGGAAGGGCTTTTCATTCTGCCCCCACTTGTTCCCTTAGGCCCTGCTCTGTGTCCCCATCCTGGGAATGATGGGCTCCTACATACATGGATTTCCACTTTTGTCACACAATAGAGTGTAGGACAGTTGTGGAGGTCATTTTTGCCTTCTTCAGTTCATCCTTCTTTAAGGTGTCTGTCACCTCAGATCAAAACAGGGGAAGGTATTAGAAGCCAGAAGAATTTGATGGTAGAATTTGAAGACACATACTTGGTCAAATTCAGGTAGAGACAAATAAGAATGGGGCATCCCTTAATGAAGTTTACACTTTTGGGTGGGAAGGGTGGCAGAGAAATCTCAAAATCCATTAGCAGATCTTATCTAGTAAGCCGTCTTTCATGTTACAAAATGGGACTGCTGATTTATAAAGGGAAGGACAGGCCTGAAAGGGTTAGGTTTGTGTTCAGTGTCTATGCTCATGACCAGTTACCTGTCTCACATTTTGGTAACTAGAACTGGCAGAAGGTTAAATATGGCCAAATCTAGATTGCTTACTGAGAGAATGGGACCATACAAGAAGTGCTTGGAGATAAACTCTGCCCAATGAACCCCTGTTAGCTCCAAATAAGACTGATGGTGCAGGGAAGGCCAACATTTGAGGGAACCCAGGGGAGTAGAATGGCTAAATGCTTCATGTGTTGTTGATTTTGAAGGGCAAAGTAAATGCTGGATTAGCAGTAGACTGTGAAGGGAGTCTGGAGAAAGGTGGGTTTTGTTTTGCACTTAGATCATGAAACTGCTGTGTGTGATAATACTATCTTTCCAACCAATTGATTAATCTGTATTGCTTTTATAAATAAAGATTCACCACTGTTAGGTGTAAAAAAGTGCTCATGATTTTCATAAAGGTTAAACTGTCTTTCTATTGTTTCTCTTTTTAAAGATATTGAGAAAATTCATATCCAGGTCATCCAAGAAGATGGAAATAGAGTGGTAAATATTTGAAATCTCTTTTGCTTCGGAGTTTTTTTCCCACAGAGTGACATTTCGAGACTGTTAAGGATAGTTATGTTATAGACACAGACCACTTTCTTTATTTGATGTCTTACAAATTATAGGCTTGCTGTTGTAACATGTGAAATAATACTAGACGTATGAAGGAGTTAATTATCTCCTTTATCTTGACCTCACTGTCCAATCTCAGTCTCATGAGATAACTCATGACAGCCTTGTGGAACTCTTTCCACACCTTTACCTTGCTCATACGCACGTACACATGGTAAGGTGCACTTGCGCAGATTCAGTCATTTTTACCAAAATAGAATCATAATATGATTATTAATTGGCCATTTTTGTTTTTGCTTTTTACTTAATATATCAGGGCTATCCCTATAGGTTTTTAAATAGAGATAGAACTTTTTTCCCTAATTTTTAGACATACATAGAATAAATGGGATCATATGGGGATTCATATAGTTCAATTTTTTTCTTTTCTTTTTATTGCTTATATTCCACTTCTCCTTGCCTTTTCATCTCTAATCTTGGCTATAACCTATTATGTCTCCTTTCATGCACTTCTCTGAACCTATGTATTTCCCATCCCCACCCCTGACACACCCAGGGGTTTATTATTCACTCCTTCCTCATTCAACTTTGTGGCATTACCTACAAGTCAACCAGAAGCGGTCACTTCATTCTTTTTAGAAGTACATAATAGTCCGTGGTATGGATGTACACAATTTCAATCATTCTCCCATGGGTGGACACTCGCTTGATTGGCACTTTTTTTTTTCATCTTTTTTGTGTTACAAATCATTTCAAATTTTTTTTTAAATAGCTTTACATTTTTGGTACACATATTTCTTTAGGCTAAATCCTCAGGGATGGATAATTGCGTTGACGGGTATAGCATTTAATATATTTCAACAGATTTTGCTAGCTTGGTTTCCAAAAAACCTTGTAACAATTCACAGTTGTACAAGCAATGTGTAAGAATACCCTTTCCCTCTATCCATACCAGTCATAGATCCATTTGCTGTTTTAAAAAAAAATCCAACTTGATGAGTGTTAAGTTGATAACATTATTATTTTAGTTGGTATTTCTGTTAATATCACTGGCCGTGTGAATTTGTTTTTCTGAAAATTGCTTAGTTATATCCTTGTCTATTTTTCTGTTGGGTTGCCTTTTTCTTGACAGTTGGTGTAAGAGCATACTATATTACTGATATTAAAAATTATTTCCTTTACTATTCAAATAGTTGGCATCAAAATAATCATTCTCTGAAGATTTTAATTTTAAAGTTAAGTGAAGAACATAGAAATGGAAAATGCATTTATTAATTATGTATCTCTGACTGAAAGCCTCAAATCAAGATGCCTGGCTGGAAAATGACTAGAAAGTGTGTGGCTGGAGCACTGCTGGGCACAGATGTCGGGGTATGGACGGGGCCAGGGGTCGGAAAAGAGTCAGACTAGAGAGGAAGAATGAAGGCAGAATCCCAAAGCCAGCAATGTGAATTTAGAGGAGAGAGTCACATAAACATTTCAGGGTCAGTGAAATAAACAAGACCAGGAATGGGTATAGACAGAGGACTGGCTGGTTACAAGAGGGGCTGGGAGCCATGGAGATACCGCAAAGTGAGGCCAGTGGGCACCTGTCAGCCGCCAACACAGAGTAGCCTCAGCATACCGTCAGCCTTGCCTGCCCTTCTCTGAAGTATCGCTGTCCCCCTCCCCCTCCTCCTCCTTCTTCTTCTTTTTTTTTAAGATTTATTTATTTATTTGAAAGAGCACACACATGCGAGGGAGGAGCAGAGGGAGAGGGAGAGAAATCCTCAAGCAGACTCCCCACTGAACACAGAGCAGGGGTGGGAGTTGATCCCAGGACCCTGAAATCATGACCTGAGCTGAAACCGAGTCGGATGCCTATGGAGCCCCCCAAGCACCCCCACTACCCTTATTCTTAAGGGCTTAGATGATAGCTTCTTAAGGCAGTGTGCGGTTCCATGCATTCATAACAACATCCTGTGGTAGGTAGGCAGTGTTATAATTATCCCCATGTTTACAGAGAATACAACAAGCAAGGCTCACAGAGGTGAGGGAACTCTAGAGAGGGAAAAAGTTGAGATGTGAATCTGTGTTGCCACACTCTGATGATCAGGTTTTTGTCAGTATATACCCTTATCTGAGAGTCCCCAAATCTGTTCTAATTTAACAAATTTCAGAAAAATGGAAACAAGATGTGTTGCCCAAAGTTTAGAATCTTATTGAGAACAAAAGTTGAGAATATAAAGGTGTTGTAGGAGAGTGCATACTCATCGGGGTAGATTTATAGCATTAGTTAAGTATGCCAGAGTACCATAGGAATACAGAGGTGGGGAGCTGTGCCTTGAGAGAAGGTGAGGGAGGGCTTCATACAGGAGGCAATGCCTAAGTTGGGTCTTGAAGGATGGGCAGTATCACCATACTCATTGTGGAAGACATAAAGGTAAGAAGCATGACCAAAGACACATGAATAGCTTATGGCAGATCTGGGGGGCAGTGCTCCCCTACCCCCAGGCCTGAGTTTTTTCCTTGGCGTCACAGCTGCTGTCTTTGTGGTGAAGCCCTTTTGTCTGCAGATACCTGAGTGGGTTATGTACAGAATGGGAAGCTTTGAATCTTCTGTTGGCCCTGGTGTTGATTTGTGGTAGGTGTGGCCTTGCCTTCAACAGCCCCATCCTGTCTGGCTAATTAGGGACAAGAATAATATAGTTCTTTATAGAGTGTTTGGAAAGAGCAAGTAATTAAATAATGCCTTAAATCTTTTCTGAAAAGACTTTCCATGTGTATGTGTTAGGGGTAAGGGAATGCTAAAAATAAACTGTGGAAATATTTATATATATTATGAAGATAGAATAGGCAAAATAATAAATCCAGAAATATTCTCCTTTAAAATGGTTGCTTATCTCTAAAATCTCTTTGCCTCTTTAGGTACTTAAAGACTCTGGCCATCTCCCAAGAGAGAGAGTAGCTGAGGATTTTGTTTGGGCTCAATGGGATATGTCAGAGCAGAGATTATACTACATTGACCTAAAGGTAAAAACTAGTCCACTGGCCTGCTTTTTACCTCTACAACTTAATTGTGACATTACCATTATTATAATTTATTAATCACTGCATTTTCATTGATGGGGACAATCAATGGAAGTTTATTAAAAATATGAAATATTTTCATTACTGTTTGCCTCGTGGTTGCTTCCTTTTCTCTCTTTCTTTTTTACTAATGTTTTTGTTGATCTTTTATTTTTATTGTTTTTTAAAGATTTTATTTGGGGCACCTGGGTGGCTCAGTTGGTTAACCGTCTGCCTTTGGCTCAGGTCATGATCCCAGGGTCCTGGGGTGGAGCCTGCTTCTCCCTCTGCCTGCCACTCCCCCTGCTTGTGCTCACCCACTCTCTCTGTCAAATAAATAAATAAAATCTTTTTTAAAAAATATTTTATTTATTTATTTAGAGAGAGAGCATGTGCGTGCATGCACATCAGTGAGGGAGGGGCAGAGGGAGAGAGAGAATCTCTAGCAGACTCTGCACTGAGCACAGAGCCCGACTCTGGGCTTGATCCCATGACCCCGAGATCATGACCTGAGCTGAAACCGAGAGTCGGACGCTCAACTGACTGAGCCACCCAGGCTCCCCTGTTGATCTTTTTTTACAGATTTTATTTTTTTTAAGTCATCTCTATACCCAACGTGAGTTTCAAACTCACAACCCCAAGATCAAGAGTTGCACACTCCAGCACCTGAGCCAGTCTCGTGCCCCTTTGTTGATTTTTTTCTTTTTTGTAATTTGTCATTTATTCTGTTTTTTCTTTTAGAAATCAAGCAGTGTCTTAAAATGCATCCAGTTTTCTGCTGATGAGAAGTTTAACTTAATGGTAAGTCCGGAGAATGACTGGGCTATAGGAAATTTTATAACACATGTCCTCCTTCTAAAGAGAGCTGTTACCAGAAACAGCATTTTAGCATTCTCGTGTTCGTCACTTGCATGAGCAAGTAACATAGTTCTTGTCATCTCAAGGCTTCAACTGTATAACAAATACAATTAACACAGGTGATTCGAAGAGCACACAGGAAATTTCTGCTAACTGAATGCCTCTCATTAAAGACACAAGCATATGAGTGAGGATTTGCAGAAGGTAATGGGTATGGTGTATGTAGATAGCTTTAAGTGGTTACAAGTCATTTGAGCCCAAAAGACTTGTGAGGATGGTGGATTTGAGTGTAGGGTAAAACGTCAATGAGAGTGTATAGTTTAATTAGTAAAAATCTAGCATCACTCCTGGCAAAGCCATTTGGAATGCTAGTCTTCTAGTGAGGAATCCTAAATATCTTTACCTGTGATGAAGAGAAAGTTATTCTTCACTAGGATTAGTATTGGTGTCTAATATAGATTGATATCATACCATTACAAGAATTTCATTTATTCCTCCTGCCCCCCCCCTTTTTTTTAAACTCACTCATTCTCCTTCTAAAGACATCCAGTCCTTCCCTCTGTGCATGGTCATCTATATCTTATAAAAAGTCTACCCCTACTGATTGGCGTATCATATCATTTATGATATTCAAATCTGAGGCAGTTTGTCAAGTATTAGCCCTTTAAGAAATAAATACACACCAAGCCTGTGACTGTGTGTAAACTCTAGAATATTCCCAATGGACTTTCTGTGCTGTGGATCTGGGGGATAACGTCTGAAGAAAATGATGGTTAAAAGGGCTCTTCATCAATAGGCAAGCACAGCATTGTCAGACTTGCTCTGGGTTTCAGAACTATCATCGCTAAATTAATGTCATTTTTTTGGTTTGTTTTCTCATGATTTTTTGACAGTTTGAAGCACCCTTGGATATAACATTAAGTGACTCAGGATTTAAGTAAGTTACTCATTGATTACTGCTAATTTTTATAGACACTCGTGGGCAGAATGATTGTATTTATACCTAATTTATGGTATGCAGATATAAGGACAATTCGATATTCTGTGTTTGTGTGTGTGTGACTTTTGATATTTCTGTCCTCCATAGGCAATATAAACAACTTTATCAAGCACGAACACAGGGTTTTTCATGTAAAGTCAATCATACTGATTTTCATAGCCATTTATTCCTATAGGATGTTTCAGTTTATTTTGATCCGTGGAAGTGCTCTTCTCCCTGTGATTCAATAAAAGGATTTGATGAATCGGAGCTACATTTAGAATCAAACATCAAACCCCTTCTCTTGTTGCCACCAAAGAGAAGGGGTTTGCAGTCAATCCACGTGTGGCTCAGCTGTGTCTGTTGCATTACTATTTGTTTTCCTTTTTATACCTTTACAAAGGTGAGCTTTTCTTCCCCCAGACTATTTTACCTAGAGTAAAAACATGAACATTTTTGAAAAATAGACACAAGCCCACTAGTGCACAGAAGAAATGAAAGTCTTCTTGAATTAGAATAATGATAATCCTAAACTGTTCTATGTTTCACTAGCTTTATTTCATCACATATGAACACTCAGTTCTTGCTTTGAAACTGTATATGCAGCACTTTAGAAAAAAAGTTTTATTACTTTCAACTTCTGTTTTTATTTTTTTCCTTTATTGCCAGGGCCATGCCATTTATGTATTTTTTTATTAGTTTTATAGAACTTTTAAACAAAAAAATAAAACAACTACTTAAATTTCTCAGGGACAAGTCTCTACTTCTGTGGGTATGTTATAGTGGTTACTATCCTTTATAAAGGAACTTTATTTTTTATTTTAAAAAATTCTTCTTATTAAAGTGTAGTTGACATACAGTATTATATTAGTTTCAAGTGTATGACACAGTCGATTATGCAATGCTCACTGCATTAAGTGAAAGAGGGAACTAATTTTTAAATGCATTCAGTTTCTTATCCTTTATGTCCTTAGACTTGTAAACTTTGGATGTGATGATCTTCAAGACCAAGAGAACTTATCCAAACACCTGACCCTGTGCGTTTTTACCAACCATACAGGTAGAACCAGGATTGTATTTATCAACTTATTCAACTATGCTTGAGTTCTATAAAAAATTTAGTCATTTCTTTAGCCATATGGATCCTTAAAATATAATAGAACCACAATCTTACTTAAGTGATCAGATGGATATTTATATACCAAATTATCTTCTCCACTGCAATTTTATATATTCTCTGTTTGTATGAAAGAAGCCACAGTCAGCAGGGTTATTGTTCTAATAGTTATTTGTATTTTTTAATAGAGGATCAGGTAGATTCATGTGTAATTGATCTACATTTTCATCTGCTCCATCTTTTAACAAATGGCGTCCAATTACGGGGATGCTTTTTGTGTCAGGCTTACTGATATATTTGGTTCTAAACCTATGTCCCTAGCTTCTCTAAGAACAATTCTATAACTTACTGAGCTGACAATCAAAGCTTGACATAAAGTTATTAGTGTACGTAATTGTCTACACAGTCAACTCTAATAACTAAATCTAATAGACTTTTTAAATACCCTAGCTTGAGTGGGCAGTTACCACTGAGTTAAGTAGCACTTGGAGTAAAACTGTATTCCTTTAAATCCAAATTACGTGGTATTCACTAAGCCAATGTTTATGGAGACTTACTGTGTGCTATGTATTGGAGATAACAATGATGAGCAAAATGGACCTAATTTTTATTAGTACAGAGGTTATTGTTTGGAGTTTAGACATTAAATAAGTGCACACATAGTACTTCAATAGAATCTTGATAAATTGTAGGAATTAGGAAGTTATGAGTATATAATGGAGGCTTAATGGTAGATGCTAGTATCTTCAGATATGTTCTAGTTCAGCTAGTCTATCCCTGTTGGTCTTACCCTCCAGGACATTGTGTCCCATTCTGTCTTAGTCCTGAAAATTGTCCCCCTCGCTATCTCACTCCATAATCCATCCCATTTTTTCCAATTTCTCTCAGGCATTAAGTCCCTCCATAAACCAGTTTTGGGAGTTTAGGGAAGGAAATGATATTTCACTTGAGACTTGTAGGGCATTTATGAACTAAGAACAGTGTGACTGAAGTAGAGTGAGCAAGCCGGAGAAGACCATGGGTGAGAGCTGAAGAGTAGGCTTGAGTCAGGTAATGTAGGGCCTTGCAGACCATGAAAGATTTTATATTTTATTCTCAGAGTTCTAAGGTCATTAAAGGTTTTTTTTTTTAATTTTTAGAATGTTCAAGCATTACAGAAAAGTTCAAGAACAGAATGAACATTCATGTACCTTTTACTTAATTGTGTCATTTACAATATTTGCTTGCTCATTCTCCCCATGCATAGGTACCACATTCTTCCTTTTGATTAAACCCTTCAAAAGTAAATTGCAGACATCCTCACACTTTACCACTAAATAATTCAGCATGTATCTCCTTAGGTCAAGGACGCTCTTTTACATAACCTCAGTCCCATTATCACTGAAAGAAATTAATCACACTAATAATAATTATTTCATATTCAAATTTCCATAATGATTTCAAAAAAAGTCCTATATGTGTATATTCTCTATGTGTATGTATATGCATATGTGTTACATATGTGTGTATGTATACAAATGAATAAATATATGCATGTGTATAACTTTTAAAGTCAGGATGCCATCAAGACTTATGTATTATTTCTGGTTATTATGTCTTTGTCATCTGTTTTAATGTAGATCACTTCCCTCCCTCTATCCTCTACCCCCTTTGTTTTTCTCTCACAACATTGATATTTTGTTACCTTGTGGAATGTCCTACATTCTGGATTTGTCTAATTGTTTCCTTGTTTAACTTCTTCCTCTATCCTCCACATTCTCTGAAAATTGGTAGTTAGACTGAAAGACACCATTACACATAGGTTAAAAATTTTTCGTAAGAACACTTCATGGGGTGATATTGTGAAATTTACTTGCACCAGATCAGGAGACACATAATGTCAGGATGTTCTACTATTTGCGATGCCAAGTTTGGTCATTCAGTTACATGGTAACCACTGTCAATCTCCCTTAAAAAGGTACATTTTAATCTTTGCATGAGTAATCTGTGAAGTATTACTTTGGCACGGTATGAATGCCCCATTCCCCAACAACTTTTCACATGGCACTCCTTGATGCTCCTTCACTGAAGTGTTTTAAGCAGGCAGTGATGTGATTAGATGTGTATTTTTGAAAGATCGCTGGCTGCCATGTGAAGAATGGATTGGAGGAGGCAAGAGAAAAAGTGGGGAGATGAGCAGTTAGGGTGAGGTTGTAGTCCTACATTTGGGTGGAGGATGGCTTGAACCTGGATGGGTGTCAGAAATGGTAACTAGATGGGTTTGAGATGTGTTTAGAGATAGAACTGAGAAGCCTTGCTGTCAGTTAGCTGGCAAGGAATGGTTCTCAAGTTTCTGGCATAAGAGAATGGGTGAAGAGTGGTGCCATTTACTGAGGTGTAATGCTTTAGGTGGGGCTTTGAAAGGGAGATGGTGAGGGTTGTTTTGGACGTGTCAACTGAGAGATCTGGGACTTAGAAGAGAGGTCAGAACAGGACAGGAATAAATATGGAAGTTTTTAAGACTGTAGTGGGCATTTGAAGCCATGGGAGGAATATAGGGTCAAAAGGGAAGAAACTTAGGAATAAGATCTGAGAAGCAAAATATATAAAGGTTGGGTGGAATATCCAAAGAAAAAGAAAAAAAGAATGGAGAGAAAAGGGGAAAACCAAGTGTTTTACTATAGCAGCCAAAGGCAGAGGGGGTTTCACAAAGGGGAAGGTGGCTAACTGTTAATAGGTAGTGAGAGGTGGAGTCTACGGGGTCTGGCAGCATGAAGGTTAATGGGAGTACTTTGTGTTGGGTGACCGAGGAGAAATGGTGGTGGTGCCAGTGAAATAGCATGTGGGAGGTGTAGCCATGAGAGAGGCAGCAGCTAGAAGGGGTAGTAGGATTCAGGGAATATTATTTTTGAAGATGGTAGAGACTCCAGTATGCTTGAACACTTACAAGGCAAGAGAAAAGACGACTACCCAGCAGATAGGAAGAATTGGCCGAGCGCATTTGCTGCGCAGGTGGGGAGGTAATGGGACCCAGAGCTTGCGTGGAGGGGCCAGGGTAGGTTCTTCCTACTTCACTTTAAATCTGTTGACTATGAACAATCATTTTAGGCTTTCACTTTTTGAAGCTTTTATTCCTTTTCATTTTATCCCCATAGGAGTTTCTCATGAACGGTAGCAGCTAAAACTTATAAACGGGCGATCTATGACATCAAATGTTAGGTTTATCTGCACGAGATGTGGAAGAGTCTGTTCTTTCCTTTCTCAGCAATGTCTAGGAAAGTCGAAAATGAGCCTTTTGCTGTTCACAATCGGCTTTGAACTCGAAATAAGCCAGTTCCAAATGGGATGTGTCCCTATTTAGGATGCAGGAAGCCAGAGAAGCAACCTTTTGGTTTTTAACCAATAAGCTGTCAGCTCATGTATTTCCCAAATTGCTTTTTAAAAATGATTTTTCACCTTTGTGGTTAAACAAACGAAAACCTGAAGTAGGAATGGAGAAGGGAGCAAATAGTCTAATCCCTGTATGGCTCCCTCTACACCAGAGAGCTTCATTTCCCACGGGCTTGGAGACCAGAGAACACGGTTCATGAAAAAGATGCTGACAGACTCGGGGTCTTAAACAAATGCAATGTTACATCAGTGATGATGCTATCACAATATTTGATGTTCATTTGTCCCATATTGGTCATTGGGAGCTACTTGGTCCTTTCAGCGTTACTTGTTATTCTTGAAAGTATCTTTGTCCTGAATTTTCCTGCCCTAAGAAATGAAATCCCCGGGATGCCTGGGTGGCTCAGTCCATTAAGCATCTGCCTTTGGCTTGGGTCATGATCCCAAGGTCCTGGGATCAAGCCCCGCGTAGGGCTCCTTGCTCGGTGGGGAGTCTGCTCTCCTCCCTCTGCCTGCCACTCCCCCTGCTTGTGCGCGCTCTCTCTAATAAATAAATAAAATCTTAGAAAGAAAGAAAGAAGAAAGAAAGAAAGAAAGAAAGAAAGAAAGAAAGAAAGAAAGAAATGAAATCCCCTACCTTCCAAGGCATGAGAGGTTAAAATCTGGATGAGGGGGCTGCTCATGAGAGGCGGTGGTGGGCAAAAGCTTCTGTATTAAGATTGAGTTCGTGTAGACTTTTAAAAATGGTTTCTAGCGGGAGGGTAAATCAGAGACTTCCTAAAGCAGTGAAGGGAAGGAAATATTCTTATTCCTGTCCCATCTAACAGTCAACTGTGCAGCTGCGCTTAAGTCAGTGGCTGTCATTCTTTCTATGCACCATCTACTGGGAGGTGGTAAGGGGTGAAAAGTGTACATTCTCTTTCCTGTTCATATAATTGCAAGAGTTGCCCTCCACAAGTTCCCAGAATTAGTCCTGTGTTTTAGCATTTTATAGAGCCTTTTACAATGAGATAATTTCCCTTGGAAAACTTCGTCCATAATAGCTTTCATTGTCCAAATAGTTTCCCAAAGGCTAGCCAACTTTGAGATTTTATCTTCATCATTGATGAATATTTATTAAACATCTCTTTCTGGATACACCATTAAGAGCATGCTTTGTTTTTTCAAACTGCAACTTCCCCCAACTTGTAAATAGTAGCAAAATCATTCTGGAATAATAATAATCACAGCTAACCTTTATAGCCAGATATAACTTCTTCAGCAGAGCTTTATACATATTATCTCATTTAATTCTTATGTAAGAACCATATGAAGTAGGTTTTATATTTTCTTTTTTTTTTTAAGGATTTTATTTATTTATTTGAGAGAATGAGAGAGAGAGAGAGAGCACATGAGAGGGGGTAGGGTCAGAGGGAGAAGCAGACTCCCTGCTGAGCAGGGAGCCGGATGCGGGACTCGATCCTGGGACTCTAGGATCATGACCTGAGCCGAAGGCAGTTGCTTAACCAACTGAGCCACCCAGGCACCTGGTTCTATATTTTCTTTATTTACAGATGAGGAAACTGAGGTTTAGAGAATTTTATTAATTTGCCCCAGTCACATTATATTTATTTATTTTTTCAGTTTATTTTCTTATTTAAGTAATCTCTACACCCAACATGGGGCTCACACCCATGACTCTGAGATCAAGAGTCGCACATTCCACCAACTGAACCAGCCAGGCACCCTGCCCCAGGCACATTTAAAAAATATTGATGCCCGGGTGCCTGGGTGGCTTGGTCAGTTGAGCATCTAACTCTTGATTTCAGCTCAGGTTATGATCTCAGGGTCGTGAGATAGAGCCCCATGTCAGGCTCTGCCCTGGGCCTGGAGCCTGCTTGGGATTCTCTCTCCTTTTGCTCCTCCCACAGAGCCCTCTCTCCCTTAAAACAAAACAAAACAAAACAAAACAAAATAAAACTGATGCCTGGCCTCGGTCTTACCTTCAGAGATTCTGGTTAAGTTGATCTAATGGGAAGCTTGAGAATCTGTGAGTCCCAGGTGAGTTTAATGTACTCTCAAGGTATGAGAACCAGTGCTCCATTGGGTTGTCCATTATGGTAGCCACTAGCTACATGTGGCCATTTAAGTTAATTAAAGTTAAATAAAAAAGTTCCTCAGTCACAGTAGCTACATTCTAAGTGCTCAATAGTCACGTGTAGCTAGTTGCTACCAATTTGGACAACACATATATAAAACATTTCCATTATCAAAGAAAACTCTATGGGTGGGACAAGCTTTACAGAGTCTATGCACATCACATGTCACCTTGCTATGTCTTTATCTCCCCCCCCTCTTTGGGCTTGGGAAAGGGAATTAAGCTACAACCGAATTTGGAAATATTTGCTTATGAGATCTAAAGATAGCTCTTGGTGTATGTAATTAGGTACATTTATTCTACACCTCACTTTAACTTTCTTCAAAACAAAAATGATGACCTCCATTCTCTAAAGGATGATGTGTGGAGGAATTTGCTAGAATGGGGGATATAATCATCTTTATATTGTTGACATTTCATATTCATGCCTCATGATAGATGCCTACAAGAAGAATTTGGGTTGACAGGTATGAATATATTTAATCCTCTACAAAACTGTATTTCAGAGAGGTTGTACTAGCTTCCTCCTCTATTATTTGAGAATGTTCTTCCTACTGCTCCCTTAACAGAATTGATTATCATTTTAAAAACTTTGCTAATTGGAAAGGAAAAATACGGTGCCTTTAAAAAATTTTTATTTTGTTATTACCAGAGCGGCTGAAGTTTTAACTATGCTTGCTAAATAGTTCTTTCTCCTTGTGATCGTAGAACATAAAAGAACAGGATGAACCAGTAGTTTTTTGCTGGTAGTATGTTTACTTTATGAAAGTAGTCCAAGTGGTACATGGAACTTTTTTAACTGTTATAATTACTATTTTTGTTTATGCCTCAGTATAGTGTTACTTTGATTCTTAGTGAGTCTGCTGTAATTTTAAAGAGAAGTTATTATTGTGTACTCAATAACCATAACAGTAATTTTACATCTAACAGAATTGTTACTATTTTTACCTGATAAATTTTTCTTTTTTTTGTTATTTTCCATCTAAGATACTGCAATAAAATGTACTTCTAACAATATGGTGCAGTTTTAAATGTTAGTAAAAATGGTCACAAATGATAAACATTATAACAGAATGCTCATTAATGTCCTTAAATAGCCTTCTTAGAGAAAAATTGGCTTTTTTTTTTTACCACCATGATTCTTTGATAAATGACCTAGTAAAGTATAACAGTGGAAATATTGCTATTCACTAAAGTAGAGTAATGATTGAATTCACACAGCTAGTTAATTTTAGCTCTGGGACTGGAACCCAGCTTTCTAGACCCTGGTCAAATTCCTTTCCACCCTGGAAATCTCCTGTTTCAGGTAATCATATAAATGTTAACACTAGAAGTATCAGTTTCGGCATAATGCCCTCCATGGTAGGTCTTTGATGAGCTTATCTAGTCTACATATCTAGCAACAGCTGCTAGAGATGATGGACATATTCCACATTGGACTATTCCTCATATTCTAGAGGAGGTGGAGGCTGAGAGTGTTCTGGAGTGATGGGGTAAGTGAAGGTGGTCAGGGCTCATCTGGAAAGACCACTTTGTGCCAGGAGCTCTCTCCTTTGCACTTGGGCCAAGGTTCTCAGTGACCCAAATATGGGTGGGTATGGGCCAACACACACTTGCTCTTATTGCCCCAGTTTGCCTTCCAATTCCAGATAAAAAAGAAGACCGGAAACTGTCTGTAAAGAGGAGACATTTTGGCAAACCAGGGTCTATAACTATTAGTAATGGCTGGAAGGCAAGCTAAATAAGAGAGCAGGGCCATATGTGTATATTAGGAGAATCTCCCTTGTAAACTCCTCTAGACTCCCATGATTTCATATGCAAGAGTGTATTTCTACTCATTTTCCTATCCTTCAGTAGCTTACCACAGTTTATTACTTATGTGTGTGCTGAGTAATTGTTGAGTTAAAATTTCTTAGCAGCTTGTTAATAAACCATTTCTAGAATTTGGGAATAATCTATGAGGTAAGTTGAGGCAGAACATCTAAAGCAAGAGAAGTAAGGTTAAGTGGCCTAGGAAACTTTATTTGTCTATGATTCTTTTCAGCTCTACTAAATAATACCTTCTTACTTCTAGGAACTTTGTGTGTATGTTACAGTCCGAAGTTTGACTCTTGGGAAAAAATCACATATTCAGTGTTTTACTTTCATAAAGGTACATGTCATTTATTCTTAATTTTTTATTTTTATGTAATCACTTTTTCCAAATAGTAGCAAGTTACATAAATTTTAAAGTCCTACTACCTGGTAATAAATTTTATCAGTACATTCTATACCTGTATGCCTATGTAATACATGTTTCCTAAAGAAATTCACTAATGATGAATACAGTTAACCCTTGAACCACATGGAATTAAATTGCACAGATCCACTTACATGCAGGGTTTTTAAAAAAAATACAGTATAGTACTGTGAATGTATTTTCTCTTCCTTATAATTTTTCTTAATTACATTTTTCTTTTTCTTTCTTTTAATAACATTTTTCTTTACTGTGAGAATACAGTGCATAATACATACAACATATAAACTATGTGTTAATTGACTGTTTATGTTATCAGAAAGGCTTCTGGTCAGCAGTAGGCTCTTCGTGGTTAACTTTTGACTTCCCAAAAACTTACATGTAGATTTTTGACTGCTCAGGGGTTTGCACCCCTAAACTCCCTGTTGTTCAAGGGTCAACTGTATTGAGTTAGCTAATATTTTTATATTATTTTCCTGACCTATATTTTTTTCTAGGCTTGCAGGTAGACCAATCCTTATAGACATATTTATCCAAAGTGTGTTTGTTTGCTTTTTTATTATTAATAGTTGGAAAACATCGATATATTTAACTTACAAGGTTACATAGAGTTTTGGTTGAAAGCACCATCAGTTCAGATCTCAACAGGTCCTAGACCTAAAATACCTTTATCTCGAGTCCCACATCTGCAGCCCGGAAAACTGATTTGTCAGCAATCAGCCTGCAGGGAGAAGTGCCCAAGCTTTTCTAGTTCTGTTGTTGGCCAGTGTGCCCTTTAATAGTTTTAGTCTGAACCGTGCTAAGGTGCATTTATTTTGCTTGTTTAGTTCCTTAAAATTAGTATTTATGTAGTACATACTGTGGGTAGAATTAATTTTTTTAATTAAAAAAAAAAACTATGCCAGACCACACCAGAGTTTATTTGCAGGAGTGCCTAACATTATCTTCAGTAGTTAGAAATCTACGTAAAAAAGGTTTAACAGCTCAATAATGAAGAAACTAAAAGCCACTTCAGAAGTAGACATGCTTTAATAGCATAAGTTGGATTTTTCTTTTGTGGAAAGTTTTCATACATTTTTCTAATGATTAATATAATGGTTCAAACCATAAGTAAAAGTTTAATGAAAGTTTTATTAAGGGTTACTAATTCTGATGAAGAGTTAGAAAAGCGGAGAGTGAAACCTAATACACTGAGTTTAGCTGATAGTCTACTGCCCTTCTGAATGACTAAGAGAAGTCCCGGGAGCTCTTAATGACGACAAGAACATGAGGTAAACCATGAGGGCCAGTGAGCCACCTGGTCTCCTCCATCTCTTGGATCTTGTAGATTCTTTCAGATCCTTCTGTCCCAGCACAACCCATCTTATCAGGTCTAATATTATACAACAAGCCCAGAACAACGACTGGATCCTGATTGCACTGTAATCCACCTTCTGTGCGGGCTTTTGGAGAATGATAGAGAACCATGAAATCTAGAAGTCAGAGACCCTTGCTAGGTCAGTCTCACAGCTCCTAAAGGTTAAGAGTATTACATAGAGTAATAGCCTTGGGTGGAATTCCGGCTCTTTGTTTCTTACCATTCTTTCCTGGGCTTCCTGTTCTCTCTCCACAGGGCACAGCAAGACCTTCACTGCTGCTCTTGGGCGTGTTGACTCACGTGTGACTAAGGGCCTTACTTTTCTCAACCTTGGTGAGTGAGAGAGAGAGATGCATCTCTCTGCTCTGACCCGCCTTTCGAGTACATGTGATACTCAGTCTTTTATATCTCCATTTTCTTATCTGTGCACCCCATTTTCTCCTGCCTCTGTAGGACTTGGATTGTGATGACAACCACTGACCTTTTTGAAGCCTGAGAGGGGAAGGTTTTCTCTGGAAACCTTAGCACCCCTAGCTTCTCTGTTGTTCAAGGGTCAAACGTATTAAGTTAGTTAATATTTTTATAATATATTTTTTCCTGACCTGTATCTTTTTCTAGGCCTATAGACCAATCCTAATGAACATATTTGTGTCCCCCATTCAGATCAGCCTTTTGGGGAGGGGATGCACCTCCCTTTTTAGAGAAGCTAGGCTGTGAGCTTTCCTAAGTTTTTAGTAGTAATCCTAAAAAGCCATTTGTTAGTTTAAAGATGATGACAGGGGCACCTGGGTGGCTCAGTCGGTTAGGCATCTGCCTTCAGCTCAGGTCATGATCTTAGGGTCCTGGGATTGAGCCCCGTGTCCTTCTTCCCTCCCCCACCCTGCCCCCACTTGTTCTCTCTCCGTCTCTCTTTCAAATAAATAAATAAATAAATCTTTAAAAAAAAATGATGCCAGTGAATGGGATGTACCCTAAAAGCTTATGAGAAATAATACATCATGTTGTCCCTTGATTCTAGAGAGGACAGAGTTCTTTGAGAAACTGCCCATTCCCTGTTGCTAATTGCTAAGAGCTTCCAAGTCCTATAAATGATTTAGGGATCAGCTTGAATGTGTTGATTTTCATTGAGTAAATATAGTAAGGGAACTTGAGTGTTAGGTTTGAACATATTAATGGAGTCTATAATGAAGAAAATCAAGAAAGGGTTTATTGTACCAACCTACCAAAAGCTGCTTCTCCATATCAGTTGGGATGAGGGGCACAAACAGGTTAGCACAGGACTAAGTAACAGAACTATTACTTGCCTACCTATGGGACATGGCACAATATTCAAAAAAGAAAAACTTCAGGTTTTGAGCACATGATTCTTTAATATGTTTTCCTATTCCTGTTCCCCAGTCTGTCTACTATCACGACAAAGGTTTAGGAAGGTGTGATATGAGGGATCTGGGCAAAATGAGAACGAAAATGATAAAGTTCAGGGCGCCTGGGTGGCTCGGATGGTTAAGTGTCTGCCTTCCGCTCAGGTCATGATCCCAGGGTCTTAGGATCGAGTCCCGCATCGGGCTCCCTGCTCAGCAGGGAGCCTGCTTCTCCCTCTGCTTCTCTCTTTCTCTCTCTCTGTCTCTCATGAATAAATAAATAAAATCTTTAAAAAAAAAAGAAAACGATAAAGTTCGTAAAAAAGATTTTTCTTTTGAACAATACTATAGATGAGGTGAGATAGCGAATGCTGAGTGGGCCACTATGTGGTAAATGTTAACATGAGCTTTGAACCTGTGGGAAATTGCCTCAGAGATGCCTGATTCTACCGCTTCCTGTGGTAAGAGAGATAAATACAAGGTTTCCTGGGTCTGAGACTTGATTCTTATCAGAGAATGCTACATCAACATCACATCTCAAGAGTGATGTGGGAAACTTTCCACTAAAAAAAACTTAGCATTTTGTGAGGTCAAAGGTAGCCTTCCTTTCTTCCCCCCTGAGAATGACTCTAGAAAAGAGCAGGCATGATTTAATCTATGCTCTTCAGACTGTGGAGTCGGCAGAAATCCTAGAGCTTTGTAAAATAGGCTCTTACATAAGTTATGTTTCCTTCCTATATGCATTTTATCTTTTTGGCACAAAATTATACCCAAGATTAAAACTAGGTAATTTTTATGACAGTAGTATTGCTTTTTGAGTGATGTCTTTTTTTCCTATTAATTGCATGCAATTGTCCTAAATTGTCACCCTGTTAAAAGGGACATATTGATTAAAATATTAAAGAAGAGAGTTTTGGAGAGGTTTTCCATGAACCCAAACACCTCTTTATAAGAAAGATATGTTTGTTAATAAAAACCTACCATTTAAAAAATAAATACCATATGCTAAGCATGTTATTTCGGTTATCTTGATCCTTACAACAATTCTGCTTGGTGATGTTATCCTCATTATACAGATAATGAAACTGAGGCTCAGAAAGGTGTGTGCCCAGGCTCCTTTTGGTGTCTCTTATCAGAAGCACTGTGTTAGTTTCTTATTGCTGCTATAACAAATTATCACAGATTTAGGGCTTAAAACAACATAAACTTTGTCTTTTGGTTCTGGAGGTCAGAATTCTGAAATGAATTTTAAGGGGCTAAAGTCAAGGTGTGGGTAGAAATGGTTCCTTCTGGATATTCTGGGGAGGAATTCATCCTTGGCCTCCTCCAGCATCTCGAGGCTAGCATTTCTTGGTTTATGACCACATCACTCCCATCTCTTTCATCCTCGCATGATCTCCTCTGTAGTCCACTCTCCCTCTTCCTCCCTTCTGTAAATATATTTATGGTTACATTGGGTCCACTTGAATACTCCAGGATACTTTCCGCATCCCAAGATCCTTGATCCCATCTGCGAGGTGCCTTTTATCCCTTCGGGTAACATATTACAGGCTCTGGGATTAGCACATGAACATCTTTGAGGGTCATCATTTGGCCTACCGCAGGCACTGTTGACATTTTTGATGAGACAGTACTTTTTGAGTGAGAGTGTCCTGCACATTGAGGGTTTTAATGACCTTCACCAAATGGCAGGAGGACTCCCCCTTCCACTCCAATGATTGCGACAACTCAAAACACCCTCATGTATTTCCAAATGCCTCCTCTCCCAGGGATGTAGTTACCACCCTAGTTAACTGGTTAAATGCTAGGGCTAAGAATTTATTTAGGTCGTTTGATGCCTAAACCCTTTCCACCATACCCTATTATATCATTATTTGTGTGTTTTTATTTAAGTGTTGCCATAATAAGAATATTATTGCAGCCATTTGTGCTACTTGCTTTTTTTTTTTTAAGATTTTATTTATTTATTCAACAGAGAGAGAGAGAGACATAGCGAGAGAAGGAACACAAGCAGGGGGAGTGGGAGAGAAGCAGGCTTCCTGCGGAGCAGGGAGCCCAACACGGGGCTCGATCCCAGGACCCTGGGATCATGACCTGAGCCGAAGGCAGACAGTTAACTGACGGAGCCACCCAGGCGCCCTGTGCTACTCACTTCAACATCACTTAATCCCCAGTGACCAAGAGGACACTTTTTTAAGTCAACTGCTTTGAGTTTTACATCCTCTTTATTTTCCTTTCCATTCCGCTGAATGCCTTCTATGCAAATGATTAGCATGTATTTCTTTGCCTCTTAGGAAAAAAGAGTCCAGCTGGCTCACTATAATCTAAATGTGTCATCTGTCTGAAATTCACTGCTATTGTGTGAAAAATTATTGGCAAGGGCTACTTCCACCTTCCCATTCTCCAGAAACCTATTTTTACGCCTTGTCTCAATCTGTGTACAAGTGTTTTTGGTACAAAATTATCAAACGCAGGGGCTGTGAAGGTGCGAATTCTCAGCAGCTCACTATGCAAGGAAATATATTAGTACTTCGTCAAGTGTGAGATTGCCTACAGAGATTGTTTTGATGAATATCAATTTAAGGGTTCTCTAAACAAAATGACAATGATGATAGTGATGATGACGACGAGTGGGCAAACATAGGAAACAAAATTTTAGAGCTTCCCCCAACTGGCAGAAACGAGGAGGGAAATTCCCATTATAAGCTATTCCCAGACTATCAGATAAAGGAATAATTCATATTGCTTGGTATTTTTTTTTTTCTAATTTGCTTTCAGAGGTCATTTAAGTTCATATAAAGCCACAGTTCACTTAGACTCAAAATTACAGATATCAATTAAGATAACCATGGCTAAATGTATGAAGAAAACTAGCCACAGATAGAAATAAATGAGACCTGGGCGCCTGGGTGGCTCAGTTGGTTAAGCGACTGCCTTCGGCTCAGGTCATGATCCTGGAGTCCCGGGATCAAGTCCCGCATCGGGCTCCCTGCTCGGCGGGGAGTCTGCTTCTCCCTCTGACCCTCTTCCCTCTCGTGCTCTCTATCTCTCATTCTCTCTCAAATAAATAAATAAAATCTTTAAAAAAAAAAAAAAAGAAAGAAATGAGACCTAGCTAGTAAGATGAAATGTACTGACATCAGACAGTTTAGTATCACGTTGATCAAAACTTCTTTGTTTTAAGAGGTTCAAAGACAAATAGGGATACTGTGAAGTTCTGGGCTTTCTCTTTGCCTTGTGCAGCTCTTGCCACATGCAGATAAATTATATCATCCTCGTCTACAGATTATTACGTGGCTGTTTACTTACCTGGTCATTTCTTTCATCTACTTAACATCCAACATCCGGACCTGATCTGCCACAGTTTGTTTCTGACAGGTATGGCTGTGGTCTTTCCCTCATGAACATGGCCCATTTGGATTTGTCTTGGCAATGTTTATATTTGGGTGAGGGTGAGAAGGGTTTCTTTTATTTGCTGATCTCCTTTTTTTTTTGGCCAGGAAACAATGAAGTGGTTGATATGCTACCTCATAGTCCTTTACAGTCACTCTCAGGGTCCCTGGTACTGGATTGGTGTTCTGGAAAGCTCTCCAGGGCGGTCCTCAACCAGTCGTACTTACTACAGTTCCTATGGAACACGCGGCTAGACTATGAGAAGATGGGCGCGTTGCACTGTGTGCTCTCCTGGGGCCGAGACCCCCCGCTCCTGGAAGCCAAGGTGGTGATGTAGCTTCAGTTTAAAAACTGGCAAATGGACAACACCAACTCTATACATTTGTGGTTGAAATGAACCGATGCCATTTTTGTTTGGTAATAATTGATTGAAGTGTATGGTCTCCATCCTGATTTGAACATACTCTCTTCTTGTGCTTCTTTTTTATGGACACCAACCAGACCTCAGACTGTGAGCAGGTCTGTTCTTTTGACTACAGTCTTTTCCATACTGCGCATACACGTTAGCTGTATCAGTAACATTCCAAGGAAGTGCTCAGTAAATAGTACATAGTTTCTCAAATACCTACTTTTTCTCCTGGTCTGTGTTTGGTGTATAGCATCAAAAGAACTAAAATCTGGTGGCATATATTTATTACATTTTAATGAAGATAGTTTATATTTATATTTATATTGCACGATTTAATTTATGAAGCACTTTCACATGTTTTGTCATTTAATTTTACAGCTGTCCTGTGAAGTTGGAGAAACCCCCCTAATTAGACTTGATTGGGACCAATGGGTGGTTGGGTAATTGAAGAAAAGATATCTTAAACATTTTATTTTAGCCTAAAACAAACAAAAAAAGTACATTTATTCACCTATCTTTTGATGTAGATTAAGACTCTTTCTTTGTATATTAGCGGGTTGGAGTTCAAAATCATTTTTCTTTCTTTTTTTATTTTTTATTAACATATAATGTATTATTTGTTTCAGGGGTACAGGTCTGTGATTCATCAGTCTTACACAATTCACAGCACTCACCATAGCACATACCCTCCCCAGTGTCCATCACCCAGCCACCCCATCTCTCCCACCCCCCCTTCTCTCCAGCAACCCTCAGTTTGTTTCCTGAGATTAAGAGTCTCTTATGGTTTGTCTCCCTCTCTGGTTTCATCTTGTTTCATTTTTCCCTCCCTTCCCCTATGATCCTCTGTCTTGTTTCTCAAATTCCTCATATCAGTGAGATCATATGATAATTATCTTGCTCTGATTGGCTTATTTGGCTTAGCATAATACCCTCTAGTTCCATCCACGTTGTTGCAAATGGCAACATCTCATTTTTTTGGCTGCCTGATATTCCATTGTGTGTGTATGTGTGTATATATATCACACACCACATCTTCTTTATCCATTCATCTGTCGAGGGACATCTTGGCTCTGTCCATAGTTTGGCTATTGTGGACATTGCTGCTATAAACATTGATTGGGGTGCACGTACCCCTTCAGATCACTACATTTGTGTCTTTGGGGTAAATACCCAGTAGTGCAATTGCTGGGTCATAGGGTAGTTCTATTTTCAACTTTTTGAGGAAACTCCATACTGTCAAAATCATTTTTCTTACATAAAACCACTAGTAATTTGCTGTCTCTGACTTCCTATTACTTTCTTCTTCTCCTTTTTTTTTTTTCTTAATCTTACTTTCTTCTTTTTTTAACCTAAGGAGAGCCATATTTTAAAGATCCTTTCAAAACCATCCGTATCTATTGGGCAATTTTTTCTAATCTTTTACAGTTGTCTCACACATAGTTTTTTTTAGTGAGTGTTTTAGACATGCCTTTGAGTCTTTCTGAAGCATTCAACTTTTATTGACCAAACAGCACTCTTTTTGCTTCCATATTTCACTCGTCTGTGGTAATATTTTATTAAATTACCTAATTGTGAAGATAAATACAACCAGCATGAATAGGCTTAGAAATAAAAACAACCACTTACTGGGATGGCTGGGTGGCTCAGTTGGTTAAGCACCTGCTTTTGGCTTAGGTCATGATCCCAGGGTCCTGGGATGGAGCCCGGCATTCTCCCTCTGTCTGCCGCTCCCCCTGCTTGTGCGCTTTCTCTCTCTCTGACAAATAAATAAAATCTTAAAAAAAAAAAAAAACCCACTTATTTATTGGTAGGAGCAGAAATGTGAGAGTGCTCTGTGGCTAGGCAAGCCTCATAGTGTCTAAGGCTGGGAACAAGAAGTTTCAGTCCTCCAGCAGGTGAGGATGGTTGTGGAGACTGAGTTGTTGTTACAACATACCCTTGGGAGGACCATACAGTGATGCTCATGAAGGTTAAGCGGTGTGCCAACGTTCACACTGATGTCTGAGCTGGACTCAAACCCAGGTCTGCTGCCTTCGAGCTTTGGGGTGTGGTTTGGTTTGTTTTCTCTTGTATCCGCCAGCTCTTCACACTGGTACTTTGCTAAAACATGACCTACTCTAGCAAAAAAAACATGGGGTTGAAGAAGGCTTATTTGGATTTCAGCCAAGGGCATTTATTAAAAAAAGATATGTAAAATGGACCTGATTTATAAGACTGCTTAAGTCACAGTCTTGCATTATGTGCCTTGAAGGGAAGTGAGTATATTCTTCGGCAGTGCCAAAATAGATACAGAATTTTAAAAGATTCACATACATTTTGTACTTCTTTGGTGATGGGGGCAGGGTGCAGATGTAAATACCAACAGTTTTGTCTTCTTACTTTTTAAAGATTATTCAGTGGATTTCAGAGAACATCTCTGCCTGCCATTCATTTGACCTCATTCAGGAATTTATAATTGGTAGGTGTTGCTGATGGTGCATAGTAAGTTGGATCCTTGACCCTTTTGCTGGAGGGAAAGCAGCAAATTGATAATGCCTCAACCTGTCAAAATGTTGGTTAGAAGCATTGCTTTTTCTTCTTCTTTTTTTTTTTTTTTTTACTCTATTTCAGTCAGCAGCTAATTAAATTTCGTTCTCTCATGGTCTTGTGAGAAGCTGCGACAGTTCGGAGACTGATGAGATACATTCTCTAACCTTATTAGTGATTTTTTTTCCCCAGTAAGATATAAAAAACTTTATTAGTTCAGTTTCTATGTGAAGTGGAATAATGTCATTTTGGGTTAGATAGAAGTGCCAAATAATTTTTTTTAAATGATTCTCACTGTAAAGAGCAGAACTTGAACATTTCATAAAGGTAGAACCATAATGGTTAGCCTTTTAAAGATAAGGATAAGGCAATAAAAACGTTTTGGGGGTTTGCTTGTTTTGGTGAATTACAGTGTCTACTGCCTTATTAAACCATGTCTTTCTTTTTTTTTTTCTTTCAAAAATCTACTCAGCTTCTTCGTATTGGAGCATATACCCAGAGACAAGCAACATGGATAAACTTTTGCCATATTCCTCAGTGCTCGCTTGGAACACAGTAAGTTAACGCTTTGTATTATGTAATTAAAATCGATTCACGGTTGTGGGTCAGTTGTAGGACATCCCTGTCACAGTACCCATGGCTGTGATTTCATTTGTTTATCTTGACTGGTAAGGATCTGAGTTGGAGTTTCCTGACAGAAAAATAATCGTGAATCCTTGCTGTTAGCCAAAGGTAGTGATATAAAAGAGGAGAATTGAAGGAGAAGGTACAGGATATGTGTCACTCTTCTTACTACTAAGCAGAATGAAGCCTCTGTCATCTTCAAATGGTATTTTTTTTTTTAGCAACTAGAGAGGATTAAAATATTTTTGTAAATCTAAGGAATGGCCGGACCACTGCTGTTGTTGTAAGCTGTTCTATTTCCTAAGTAGATTGACCCCTTTTCCCAGCCTCATAAGGAAAATCTGTAATAACTGTAGAGCCTCAGGATCAGTAAAAGTTAGTAATCTTAAGCAAATTCACTCCATTCAACCTTTTCTTCCTCTTGGCCGTTCCTCCCAATTTGTCTTTTTTTTTTTTTTTTAAAGATTTTATTTATTTATCAGAGAGAGAGAGACAGAGGCAGGCAGAGGGAGAAGCAGGCTCCTTGCTCAGCAAGGAGTCCGATGCGGGACTCAGTCCCAGGACCCCAGGACCATGACCCGAGCTGAAGGCAGACGCTTAACCGACTGAGCCACCCAGGCGTCCCCCTCCCAATTTTTCAATGGGGAGGTGCTCAGCTAAAATTTTGTCTATTTTCTCTAGAACATGGTGCAGTAAACTGAGATTTGTTGGATCAGAAAGTGAAAACCCCGAAAAAGGTTTTAGGCTGCCCCTGAAAAAGGTTTCTTCTTTCATACTTAGAATTACATGCTTAGTCTTGAGGCAGAGGTTTATATCAAAAAGGCATTTAGAAAAGTAAATTGAATTTAGGTAACACAGACATTGGAAAATAAGTACTGGGCTAAATTGTGACACTTGCCCATTTTGTATTTAGACTATCTAAATAGAGGCAGGTATGTCTGATTAATTTCTAAATGTTTGGTATGCACAGTGGCAGTGTTTTCCTAAAGGCCCTTCTGTCTTTTACCGTTAAGGGTTATTAAATGTTCTTGCCTCACTGTAGAATAACAAAGGAAAGATGAACTCATTCCGTCTCCAAGCACTGTTTGCTTTGAGAACTCTTGTGAATATACATGCAGCATCTATGGTGATGTGGCAGGAAGTTTGCAGGTTAAACCACAGGGAGTCAGGAAATGCACCTCTATGTTTCCTTCCCTCACCACCCAGCCCTGTCATCCTCCAGTTCAGTGTCTGGGAGGAGGGGACCGGGAACCCCTCTAGTTCCCAGAGTTGTGTTTAAAGATGGAGCACGTGTTAACTGGATGGCGTGTGAGAGGCTCGTCTGGAGAGGCAGTTCCTCACTTTTGCATTTCTCACGACTGTGGGGCGGAGGAGCAATTGCAGACCTCCAGAGTGGTGTCAGGAAGTCCTGTGAGAGTTAATATAAAAAACCAACAGTTCTAACCACCATCTACCAAGCTTATTTTAGGGTTTACCACGTTGCTCTAAACTTCAGGGTGTTGGAGTAGGTTACCTTAAAGGTCTCTTCTAATCCTGAAATTCTGAGTCCCTGCTTCTCTTTAGCAATGATGTAAATCATTTGCCTTTCCTTTTTCTAATCTACAAATGCTCTTATTCCTACACCTTAATAAACGCTTGCCAGAATAAAAAGTATTAATATCATAAAACTATTAATATCATACTTCTGTATGGAGACAGATTATCTCTGTAAATAACTGAATTGGATTTTTTTTTAAGATACTAGAACATATGGTGCTCTTTCATATAAATAATCCTGAATTATGCCTTGCAAACAATTAGCCTTGTTATTCCTATTTTAAGACCTAAAGCTGTAGTGAGATTTTAATGCTTTTTTGAAGTGTCTTCTCTTACCGAGTAGTGATAAGTGAAACACAGAATATATTCTTAACACAGGATTTCTGTGGTCACAGCGGACAACTCGGTTGTTTGAATATTCTGGAAACTTATTTCTACATTGCTGTGGTACCCCTTTCCACAGGAATGTTGTATATCAGTAAAAATCTAATAAAGTTCTAAACAAATAGAAGATTTTTTTTCTGCAGAACACTTTCTAAATTATTTTCTCATATATCATCTACTTTTTTTTTTAGAAAATGAAAGATGAATTCACTAGCTCAGAGGCTAATCTACATGGTTAATATAGAAACACACTTCCAAAATAACTGAATGAAGGGCCATTTTGGAAGTTTATATTTTTATTGAAATTTTTGTTTTAATGCTCACAATGTTATAATTCAGATTTCCTGATATGGATTGTACATCTTTCATATTTGGCATGGTGATACTGCTGCATCAGCTCTTTATGGGTATCTTTTATTTCTGAAATTATGGTAGAGGATGAAGTGAAGAAAAATTTTCCACTAAAGTAAAAAAAGAACCCCATTAATTTTGGTTCCTTCTAGGGAGGCAGGGGCCAACTATAATATAATACATTTAAGCAAAAGAGAAGAAGAGGGAGGAAGGAACAATAAACAAAGAAGGAACGTGTCCCCCTTATTATTGCATTTGATAGTGCACATGTAATTTGCCTCATTTGTTCTTAAAAGGAAATGTGTAAATAATACACTATTTGCTCCATATTCCTAATAGTCTTCTCCTTTCCTTCAGAGACTGTCGTCTTTTTTTTTTTTTTTTAAGATTTTATTTATTTATTCGACAGAGAGAGAGACAGCGAGAGAGGGAACACAAGCAGGGGGAGTGGGAGAGGGAGAAGCAGGCTCCCTGCTGAGCAAGGAGCCCGATGCGGGGCTCGATCCCAGGATCCTGGGATCATGACCTGAGCCGAAGGCAGACACTTAACGACTGAGCCACCCAGGTGCCCCAAGACTGTCCTCTATTGTAATCATGACTTTAAAGAATATTTCCCTTCCCAAGGCAAGAGATGGGTTGTGTTCACTGTTATTTATAAACCCTAAGGTTTATTTAAAGTAGAGGTTAGCAAACTGGGAGCTGCCCTCAGCTTCTGTCTGTGCAGAAAACACTTCCTGAAGGCTCAAGCTTGTGGTGGTTGATATGTTTAGCAGTTGTGTGTGTGTTTTTCCCCCACCCTAGGAAATTCCTGGAATAACCCTTGTGACGGAAGAGATCCCATTGCCTTTCATGAAGGTAAGTCCTTCCAGGGAGAGACAAATCACATCGTGCATGGCTTCCTTGCTGGCCTCCACACTCAGCTGGAGTTCCAACTCTGCTGCCCCAAGTATGATGGTGGTTCCCAAAGGGCTTGTAGAGAAAGGGGGAGATTGGAGGTAAGGGGTAGGGTAGGGTTAGTTCTCTAGAAAATCCTTCCTAAGGGGTTGAGTCATCACTGAGGATGATATTATGGCAATTCTCAGGAATACTCTTTGGAGAGGGACGTTTTCTGAAGATGGAGAATTATGGGGCTCAACCTAAACCACATAGAACTCGTCTTTTCCACTGCACCTCAAACCAGTCCACACTGGAGGAGTTCTTGTACATTATCCTTAGAGGACCTGATAGCTGCTTCTTACTTCATTTTTGCCCCCTCCACAAGCACGCACGCACAAATACACACACACAGTCTTAAACCCTTTAAGTAACCTGGGCTGGGATTATCTAATTTCCTTCTGGTTCTAAGAACAGCTTTTCTGTTTCTCAAAAGTGACCTCTGTTGGCTCCGTATGTGGTCTCTGTGAAGGTTCTTTCTGCACACCTCCTTCCTGCCGCTAAGTGGTAGCTTTTAGTGTCTTGCTGTAATCTGATGGTTTCAGAAGAGTTTCTGAGCACAAGAGGGAGAATGGGGTGGGGTGGGTGAGTAGAAAAGAATATGTATGTAGTTAAAAACTGGAGAGTATTTTAGCAGTTTCCTTGAAGCTCCTTTGTTGTTTTCGGCGCCGCCTCCTGTTAATTATAGCTTGGTGTGTAGTGGGAAATCTCAACTTTTGTCAGCAGGCAGCTCACTGCGCTGCTTTTCTCTTATTTATGTTTGATTCTTTTGGATCCACGGAGGGCAGGCCAGGCCTGGACAGCCGGGGGAAAGCCGAAAGCCGTGAGGTCTGAGGTCCCGGTGATACCCTGGGAGTGGGAGAGGGCCAGCTGGGGCAGGTTTCGCCGTTCCAGGTTTCTGTCCTAAGAAGGGTCTTTCAAGGAGACCGACAGCTGGTGGTTCTGGGCCACAGCCTGAGACCACTGTGAAGCCCTCCAAAGGGAGGAAGAGGAAGGGAAAAGAAAGGTTTGATTAATACCTGAAAACATTCTTATTAAGAGCCTCCATCCTTTCATTGTATTGTTTCTGCTTTTATCACTAGTCCCACCAAACCCATAATGTGTTTAATGGGCACACAAGAAACCAGTGAAGAGAATTTTATTTAATTTATTTAAAAAATTTTATTTATTTATTTGCCAGAGAGAGAGAGAGTACAAGCAGGTGGAGTGGCAGGCAGAGGGAAAGGGAGAAGCAGACTCTTGGCTGAGCAAGGGGAGCCCTATGCGGGGCTCGATCCCCCGGGACTCCAGGATCATGACTTGAGCCGAAGGCAGTCGCTCAACCAACTGAGCCACCCAGGAGCCCCAGTGAAGAGAATTTTAAAGAGAAAGTAGTGTCAACCATAATTCTACAGTTTTTAACATATCAACTGTCAATCCCCCCCCCGCCCACATTTCTTCCTGGCCTTTGTCATAGTAGTGACAGCCATCCAAAGATATATAATAAAGATTGCCAATTGTATCAGACAGTTTTCATGCTGCTATGTGAACTTCGTAATTATGACCTGTAATGGCTCCAGAGGATTCTGCTGGGTTGTTGTGTCCTAATGAATTATTTTTCTGTTTTGAGACATTTAGTTTGTCTCTAGCCCCCATTTAAAAAAAAATTGCAGTGAATATTTTTATCTAAACAGTTTTTCCTTTGATTTATTCCTCCAAGGTTAAATGTCCAGGAGTATTGCTGGGCAAAAGGCTATGACAGTTTTGAAAGCTTTTGATTCTTATTGCCAAATTGGTATTCAAAAAAAAAGTTGTGATTAAGTTACAAGGAATTTATGAGTTTATCAGTTTTGCTACAACCTTATCGCCATTGTGTATTTTCATTTTAAAAATTAAGTATAAGAGAGTGATGTGAAGGTTCTCTTAATTTTTTACCCATTAGCTTATTCTAAGAATATGATTGGCTTTGCTCAGGAACAAAGTGGCTTATTTCTGCACTCTTTTTCTTTTTTTCTATTTGTGTGTATGTGTGTGTAAAATGATGCATTTTTATATTATTCATATTTTTTTCTCCCCTGATATTCACTCTGCCATCTCACTTTTTTCTCCTCTCCTCTATCTTTAGCGTTTGGCCCTGCAGACAGATGTTTCCCATTAACCATTCCCAGACGTGCTCGGGAGCTCCCTCACTTCTCCACGTGTGTCTACATGCTGGTGGGAAGTGTTACACAGCACACTTTCCAACTGTAGGTCTCTTCACCACCTTGTCCACGCAGACGCAGGTGCGATCTGTCAGGGAAGGCAAAGGTGCACTGCTGGGATGGGCCTTGAGCTCTGGAGGAGATGAGATGGTACTCAATTTGGTTTGACCGGCTCCCCAGCCCCTACCCCAGTCACTCAGCATGGGAGACACAGGACACCTGGCTCTGATATTTCTCATTTGTTTCCTCATTGCTGTTTGCACAATACCCCTCACTAGAAGCCGCTGCCTTTGACCTACTTCTTCTACCCCAAGTCCCAGCTTAATTATATTGCGATGGACCTGCTTGCAGGGGCACATCCCACCCTCGGCTCCTCCCTCCCCAGCCCCAGTTATAAGACTGTTCTCGCCATGCTTGTTCAGCTATGGGAGTTGGCCTTGAGTACCTATGACCTGAATCACGAGTTGCCTTTCGAAATGAATGCACGCTTGCTGCCAGACTTTCCACGAGGCCCAAGGGACCCTATTTACTCTCACCACACTTGCCTCCGTTCTTGGTAGATGACTGCCCTGATAAGGAGTCTGGAGAGGGAAGGGCAAAGTGAAGGTAGATAAGCACTTTCTTCCTGCTCGCTCTGCAAAGAATTCTCCCGTGGAGTACTTTACAAATGTTTAATATAGGAATATGTAATTTAACGTGGCATAAACCAGTTAAATTAGCAGTTTATCACCTGAAAGACAAGTGGCTTCCTTACTTTATAAAATGGTTTCCAAAAGAATTTTAAACAATTAAGTAGTGTATTGAAACAAGGTCCTTGCCTTAAAAGCAGTGTTATCAAGAGTGACCTTCCTGGGGCGCCTGGGTGGCTCAGTCGGTTAAGCATCTGCCTTCGGCTCAGGTCATAATCTCAGAGCCCCGGGACTGAGCCCTGCATCGGGCTCCCTGCTCCGCGGGGAGTCTGCTTCTCCTTCTCCCTCTGCCCCTCCCCCCTGTATGTGTTTTTTCTCTGTCAAATAAATAAATAAAATCTTAAAAAATAAGTGACCTTCCCACGAAGGATTTTAACCCTTCATAAAACATGGTTTTCTCTAGGGAAGTGGCAATTTTCATGAAAGGTTTAAAATTACCCTTGATTTTATAGTGAGAAGAGAAACTATTAAAACCATCTGACCACAGGAAGCCCGTAAAGATTAGAAAATATATAGAAACAACTTACTGGAATATAAAGATAAAAGGTGAATGAGCATGCCACAAATGGAGAAATGGGAGTATTTTTACGTATTTTTTAAGCCAGACATCTTCAGTTTCATTTTATAAAGTAAGGAAACCTTTTCGTCATTTGTTTAGATTAACTATCGGACCCAGAGACTGGGAAGGCCAGAAAGACTTAAATGCCCTTCCCACTTACGTCCACTCAGAACTCATTGTGTTACTTCAAGTGTCTATCAGGGGGTCTCAGTGCCCCTGCACAATTGGAAAAACAATAGTTGGCACCTGGGCTCTTCCCCAATCATTTAATTATGCTTCTTCACTTACAAAGTGTTTTAAGAATACTCTTTTAATTGGGCAGAGCATGAGTATAATTAATTGCTTAGGGAAATACAAAAGACTTGTATCCCTGACCCTCCCAATACAGAGAACCACCATCATTTAAATAAAAGTTTTGTTAGGGATCCAAAGTATCAACAAAACTACAATGTAATAGCTTACAGTTTTTTAAAAATGAGGATTGTTGCTTTGATAACAATTTAGTACCAGAAATGTCCATGGGTTATGTGGGAAATATTAATTGATTTTGCAAAGTCCAGTTTGTACATATATGATACTATAACCAGAAATATACATTTGGTCTTCACCCATGACTCCTGGCACAGAGTTCCTAAAATCCTTGTAATTTCCTGACTGATAAGAGCTACAGGGCCGTCTTTTGTTATATTTAGTGTTTGTTCCCAGTTCCTGAAATAACACAAAAGTGAAAAGAATGTCTTTTGTTATTCATAGCAAGCCCCTTTCACCTACACCTGAGTTATGTTAAGGAGGTAATTTTTTGGAAAGCACCTAAGACTGGGGGCTGGTTGCCTAAAGAATCAAAAGTATGATTAGAAGGTTGGAACTTTTTTTTTTAAGATTTTATTTATTTATTTATTTGACAGAGAGAGACACAGCGAGAGAGGGAACACAAGCAGGGGGAGTGGGAGAGGGAGAAGCAGGCTTCCCGCCGAGCCGGGAGCCCGATGCGGGGCTCGATCCCAGGACCCTGGGACCATGACGTGAGCGGATGGCAGACGCTTAATGACTGAGCCACCCAGGCGCCCCAGAAGGTGCCCCCTCCCTCCTCTCACCTCGGGAGGTAAGAGAGGGTGGCCCGGGAGATTGAGTTCAGTCACCAATGGCCAGTGATTTAATCAATCCTGCCCAGGTAATGGAGCCTCCACAAAGAACTCTTAGTGAAGGAGTTTGGAGAGCTTCTGAGACAGATGAACACGTGAAGGTGTGGGAGGGTGGTTTGCCTCAAGAGCGCATGGAAACTCTGAGCCCTTTCCCCCATGCCTGGTCCTAGCCATCTCTTCAATCTGGCTGTTCCTCAGTTGTATCCTTTTACCAATGTATAATAAGTAAACTGTTTTCTTGAGTTCTGTGAGCTACTGCAGTGAACTGTCAAACCCAAGGAGGGCGTCTCGGGAGCCCCCAGTTTATAGGCAGCTTGTGGGATCCAATACTGTCTTCAGGTCGGTAGTGTCA